GCTCAACCAGTGTCAATTTAATATAAGGTAATATTGTCTTTGGATGGTAAAAAGTGCAGGGGTCAAAACTTGACTTTGGAAAAAGTGGGTGGGTGGGTGGGTGGGGTGGGGGGGGGATCATGTCCCCCCCGTCCCCCCAAAAAATTACGTCCATGGGCCTGGTTAAGGTCAAAGATCAGACTTTCTTAGAATCAGCTTTCATTGCCATATTTGTGAGAAATCTCAACATTAGGAAATTGCTACGGCACTTGGTGCAAAATAAAAATAAATACAAGAATTAAGCCAATATAGGAAGTACAAATATAATAATTATAAAGTGGCAATAATTAGAGAAACAGCTACTATATCAACACGAGTCATGTGACTGAAACCAAGCGAGCGGAGTGGGCAGTCCTACGATTGTTATTCACGAGTCCGACTGCAGAGGGGAAGAAAATGTTCTTGCGGCGAGAAGTTCTGGTCCAAATGGATCGGAACTTCCTGCCAGATGGGAATGAGTCAAAGACACAGAGTCCAGGGTGAGACGGGTCAGCTGTGATCCGACCTGCACTCCACAATGTCCTGCATCGTCTTATCCATGATGGTAGCTCCAGCACACCACACGGTGATTGAAGAGGTGAGGATGGACTGCGGTGTAGAACTGCCTCATCGACTTTACTGGCAGGTTGAATTTATTCAGCTGCCTCAGGAAGTTCGTCCTCTGCTGGGCGTTTTCTATGATGGAGGTGATGGTGGTGCTCAGAAAGCAACAGGAGTCCACCATCGTGATGGGAGTGTCAGGCAGGGTTGTGTGTGTGTGTGGGAGGGGGAGGGGGCGGGGTTCCTTAAGTCCACAAAAACCTCCGCTGTCTTCTAGATGTTTAGCCCCAGATTGTTGTGGCTGCACCAGGCCACCAGCTGTTCCGCCTCCATTCTGTAGGCAGACTCATCCTCATCAGACATGAGTCAGATGAAGGTGGTGTCATCTGCAATGTGCAGACGTTCTTCCCCAGCCTCACTAGTTGCTTCCTGTCAATCAGGAAGTAGGTGATCTACCTCCAACGGGATGTTCTGCAGTTACAGGAAGTGGTCTAGGCTGAAGCAGCAAAGCAGCCTCGGACCACCACACTACCACCAACATGCCATGCCATGCCACTACCACCAAACTGGAGCAGAAAAATATGAACCCCCCCCCCCCCCAAAAAGTATTATTTCAGAAAACGTCTAACAGAGCTGATTAAATGGGTTTTAACATTCATGACATTTATTCTCAGCTGCAGATCCTGAATAAATAAACTATTTTTATCTAAAAGAATCTATTTTAATTTTCCACCATACCTAACCACTCTTAATACCATTCTGGTCTCACCATGACATTCGTAGAACTCTGTATACCTCAAGCCCCCACAATGCGGCTCTAAAAATGGTCCCAACCCGGAAGTAAGAGAGATTGCAGTTCCACCCTCATCCGCTGGGGGCTGGTGTACAAAATGATTTGCTGTGGCATTAATTGCACTAATAGAGCGTCCAAGGAGTCTCCACTTCATTTTTTTCGGTAAGTAAAATTATATTTATGTATTTTAGGTCACTGCCGAGCTGAGCTTAGATTTTAACATGTACTGTTTAACCATGAAATTTAAATGTAATAGGGTAAAACCCAGTGCATTTAACATAATGCTGCACTTTAGAAAATGGGTTGAAATATAACATGTTGGTGGAGCTGGGTTCCCATCGGCTTGTGGAGGTCTCGGGAGACAGATGTTTTCCACCCGTTCTCCCCTCCCCGGTTGTAGCTAGGTTGCTACCTCCGTTAGCTTAGCTCCCACCTCCGTGTTAGCTTTGGGTTAGCTCGTAGCTAGTTCGCCCGGGTGTCATCACTCGATCCCAGCCTTACAGCCCCACCCTCAGCTCCTCCTCTCTTCCCTTTTAAGGAATTGTCTGGGCTGGATGGAACCTGTGACACGGTCAAAATAGCGGTGGTGGCCACCTCCCATTATAGACAAAAAACGTGTTATTGGAGCCTATGGAATCGAATTGTCCAGTATGTACAGTCTATGGTATACCTCCTTTTTTGTTTCCCGTTGTAGAACTGAGTCAGGGAAGCTGGCTTTTTCTGTTAAAGCTCCATCTGACTGGAATAATTTACCTGTTCTTATGAGATCCGCCACTTCATTTAGGCAGTTTAAAACTTTGATTCATGATTATTTATTACCCATCTGTAGCCGTTATTGAATTATTATTGTATCATCACTTAGTCATAATATACTTTTTATCCTAAATCTCTCTGAGCTGTGTATTGTCTCTCCACCATTTAGTTGCGTCGTTTATAATCATATTTTTATGTCATGTTTTCAGTGCATTTGTTCATACAATTTATTCTATTTGATTAGCCAACTTCTTTATTTTATTATTTTTTTTGTGCATTTACTTTTTATGTTTTTTTTGTGTGATTGTGGTAGTGTTAATTAGTCATTTTGTTTTGAATTCAATTTATCGCTCTGTTATCTTGTCTTTGTATTTGCATCTTTGTTTCCAGGAGGACCCACTTGTAAACGAGATGATTCATCGCAAGTGGTTTTATTCTCCTTAAAGAGCAAGTCACCCCCAAACCAACTTTTTTTTGCTGATAAACGACATGAACGAGTGTCTAATCGTGCTGCAGACACGTGTAGTCAATAATTTGGAACTTCAGTGCATTTTAGTTACATTTTAAATATTCTGCCTAAAACTGTCAGTGTTGCGCCATCGTCAGGTAAAAACTCTGCACTGTATTTGAATTTTAATCTGTCACCGCTATTGGCTAAGAGGTATGCTATGATGTAAACTGGTACATTATGATGTCACAATGCCACTGTAAGCCTGTGTGTATTTGTTAGCAGCTCCGCCCTCTCGGTCTGCCAGGCATTTTTCAAATATTAAGTGGGAGTGAAGTAAGTCTCTTGTAGGGGGTGACTTGCTCTTTAAAAATATAAGTTAATAAATAAATAAATACTTTAAAACTACTTAGCTATACCAGGACTGTAGTTACTTCAAGGAAAATGCAAAATGTGTCAGAAAGCAAAAAGGAAGACTTTTCTGCAGTTTTGTTCTTTGGATAAATGAGTAGACATGCAATGAGGCCAAACGGATTGGTTTTGATCCTTTCCCCTCCTAGATCAACGTTAAATTTCCGATTGATCAGCAGATTCACTCGGGGTTACCCGATTGGTCTTATTCCAGATACTCACTGAAGCATCACTAGACGTTGCCAGGGAAAACAGCCAGTCACACACTTGCTATTAAATGTTTTTGTTCATGTTTTAACTCATGGATCCCACTAAAAAGGGTTTAGACAGTATTTCTTTCATAACACTGCATCTACATAAGTTTATCCTGTCTGACTTCCCCTCTAAAAAAGAAACAAAACTGTAGTTATTCTTCAGCAGGAGCTTTATTTGTGATACTAGATAAGTTATATTTGCAGGTCATAACATTTCAACCAAAACAGGGAGTTGTAAGACTATTAGCCTCAAGTTAAAGCATTAAAGTGGAGGTTTGGTCCTTTACTGATTTGGTATTAATTTACAGTTTTGTATGCAAATTTAACTGAATGTAAATCTACAATAATAGGCAGTTCGTTCAGTAAAATCCAAACAGAAAACAACTTTTAAAGGCGTAAGGTGATGTTGGAAACTGAAAAAGTGGCTTGAAGGATTTCTTACAGCCGACTATTTGTTTCTAATTCACCGTTAGCTCAAAATAAGGCTTTAGCGTTCTTGATCCGACATGAGTAAAACAAAAGGATGTCGAGGCTTCTTCTAACAACTTCTAGGCTGCTCTTCTTACTGAAATCCATTCTGTCAACAATGCTGCTTTTTGCTGGTCGTGTTGAATAACTGATGCCAGTGCTTCGGGTTTTGCTGGTGCAGGATTGGCACCATTGGAGGAGATAAACTCAGGGCCAGTCCCAATATTCAAACTTGCACCTCTGTGCAGAGGTGACTGCAGGGTGTTCCGACTCTAATTCCCCCTCTTTTGCCCCACACCGATGTGAAACACAAAGGTATTACCAACAGCTTGCTTTAAAATTGTGTATTTTCTGACCCAACATGCCAGGAATTTACTCACTTGTTTTATTATCATTTCAAAAATTAAACCGGCATTTATAGCAACCGGCATTCCCATTTAGGAAGACTTGACCAACGCTCACTATCCCAGTTCTGTAGTTCTTTGCACACATACTCACTACGCCATTGAAGCCTAACATGAACTTCCGCCACGTTAACTTCAAAGGCTGGTTTTTGGGAGTGGGTCTACGATTATGTCCTTCGATCGGCCATTTTGAAAGGACAAAAACTGACAACCGCACATCCGGTTGAGAAGGAAATCAGTATGAATGTAGCCTTTCTTCCATGATAAAGATATTCGACTGTTAATTCACTGTAAAAGCCCAGTTCGGGGGATCCAGTCTCCAGTCCCAGCATCCTATGGAAGGACAGTGATGCTGTTGTACGGCAGCTAAACACAAAAATGTGAGAAAAAAATAAGGTCCAAAACAAGTTGCGTCAATGAGTGAAATATTTTAAAGAGCAAGTCACCCCCAAATAAACTTTATTTTGCTGATAAACTAAATAAACGACTGTCTAATCGTGCTGCAGACACTTCAGTGCATCTTGGTTAAAATTTAAATATTCTGCCTAAAACTGGCAGTGTTGTGCCGTTGTCAGGTAAAAACTCTGCACTGCATTTGAATTTAAATCTGCCACCGCTATTGGCTAAGAGGTATGCTATGATGTAAACGGGTACATTATGATATCACAATGCTGTCGTGAGCCTGTGTGTGTGTATTTGTTAGTGGCTCCTCCCTCTCGGTCTGCCAGGCAACAGCATTTGTTGCATTTTTCAAACATGAAGTGGGAGTGGAGTTAGACTCTGGTAGGGGGTGACTTGCATCAGCACGCACGCACGCACGCACGCACACACGCACACGCACACGCACACGCACACACACACACACACACACACACACAATTATTTCTACATCATGTATGATTTCTTTATTTCCTCACTCTGGTTAAATTATTAATCCATTCAGCAGCCACTTTTAAATTAGATATTTACAAAATTAAAGAGAAAAACACAGAGGTGGAAATCAAACATTCACAGTATCTGCACTGAATTAATCACAGTTTGTTTCGCATTCGATAATGAAATCACAGGATCGGTCGCTGCTGGCCGTCATAAGGAAGTTCAGGTGCCTGAAACGTAAAGTCGAAAGCGCTGTGTCGACACTGGATTCTTGTCACATTCGTGTTTGGTATAAAGTGCTTTTCCTCCTGGTTTAAAGCTTAAGGAACAGGTCCAGGCACGTTTTGGTCTGAGACAGGAAAACATAATTAAAGGCTTTTTTTTTTTCTGACAGAAGAAAAAACCCACTCATGTATTTTTTATTGACATTTCCTTCTGTCCTTGTGGTTTCTTCCGTTTTCCCCTCTTCTCTCGTCATCTTTGTCGTTCTAGTGTCTCGATGATGAGCGGTTGCTGTCGCTGCTGGATCTCCGCCTCTCGTCCAGTTTAGAGGCCTCGTCCTCCCACCGACTCTCTCCTCTTACGCGGCCAGACACTGGAGTTTCCTTCGCTCTCGTTTTAAGAACCTTTTCTGGCTCTCGTTTCTGCGTCCTGCTGTTTCGGGTTAATTCCCAGTGGGAGAACTCTCTCTCGAAGCTCATGGAGGGCTCGACGAGGACGTGGAATTGGTCGGCGCTGTGGCAGTGGAACAGGGACGGTGGGGACTGTTGGATCCTTGTAGGTCTGCTTTGATCCCTGTACTCTGCTGACAGGCGCTTTCTGTCCCTTTTGGGAAAGTTGTGACTGGGCTGGAGGGCGTATCTGCTTACTGAGGGGATTTCTCTGACGGATTCCCGGCTGGAATTGGAAAACCTCGTACGGCTTTGCTCGTCCCCTCTCAGCTGGTCTCTCCTCTCTCTGTCACACGACACAGAGGAAGATGAGATGTGATTTCTGTTTTGCACAGAAGCATCACAATCTCTTTTCCTCTCATCCCCCCATGATCCTTGTCTCAATCTTTTGCTGTCCTTTAGCCTTTCACCCTCCCTCGTCCTCTCTTTCTCCCTCTCCGTCCTGATTTCTCCGTCTCTCTCAGCATACAGAGGGCTGTCGGCTCCACCGCCTCCACCAGAGGGAGCCAACATCCCCCTGTTCTCACTCCAGCGCTGCTCTTTCATCTCCTCTCTGCCTCTCAGTGTAACGCTGTCCCGGTTTCGTCCTCCAAAGGTGGATTGCTGTTTTTTTTTTTCATTATATCCCGTCATGTGACTCCTGGTTGGTCGGGCTGAAGTGTCGGTGTCACCGACGATCGCTTGTTTTTCATCATTTGTTGATTTAGATTGAGAAATCTGGGAAAGAAGATTTAAAATAAGACTCAGACACACTTTTCTGTCTTAATTATGCAAGGAATCGTCAGAAAAAGAGTTAATGCACTTGCATGCAAAATTAAGCAGCCACAGTAAAGATTTCTGTAACGGTTAAAACCAGAAGCTCACGGGGCCGAGCCTGCTGGGGACATTTGTGAGGAAGGATCCGGCTCTGAATCAAGTCCCTCTCATGAGCAGCAGGACCTCATTTGGTGTCGCTGAGCAGGACAACTGGAACCAGTCCCAATTTAACTTCCACGAGTCAAAATGTGAGAGAAAGGAGAGGAAACTCTGGGAGGGGTTGGTCAATTGTAAACACAATGTGACGAGTCAATTCACGACCAAAGAAAATTAATAAGTTAATTGAACTTATTTGTTTGTGTCTCGCTTGAACGTTTGGCAGAATTGACATTCTGGTACCAATTTAGTGTGGAATTTCTCATTTACGCTCACAAGATTTTCATTGACTGACCACCAACAGTCACAGCCCAGTGAGATACTGACTTACAGTAAATGATAAAAAGCCAACTTTTATTACTACAAGTGAAACTGGAAAAATGTTAATCTGGTGCAAAAGTTCATTTAATTCAACTTAAAAGGTAAAACCAATATATGAGGTAGACTCATTCTACACAAAGACAGTTATCTGAAACCTTTATTTGTTCTAATTGTGATGATTATGGTTTACAGCTCATGAAAACCACACATTCAAAATCTCAGACAATTAGAATATTTTGAAAAGGTTGAATTTTCTAGACTCAAAGTATCACACTGATTAGCTAATGAATCCAGAACACCTGCAAAGTGTTCCTGAGCCTGAAGATGGTCTCAGTCCAAGACGAATTACTGACAGAAATGGACTTTAGAATCAGATCATCATTTTTCCAGTTTCACCTGTAATTTTACCCAAAATGTGTTTTTTTATTATTAGTGTTGCTTTCTCAAAGATCTCAGACCTGAAACTAGCATGTTTGGGATTTAGTTTTGTGGCTTTTATTGGTTGAGAAAGGTCAGGCGATGGAAAGTCAAACCTTTTTTCAATAAGCACCAGGCACCGGATCTTCCAAGCAGCCATCTAGCACTGAAAATTAAAATAATTTATTCCCACAGAAGAGAAGAGGAAAAAAAAAGCTGTCAAACATATCAAGTAGCTTATCTACATATTATGTAAAATATATAAATGTTAAATATTCAAATTAATTGTTTTGTGCTAAAAACTCTGCACATTTAGAAGAAAACAGTTTTCTTAACACCTCCCCAAGATTAATGTGTGCTTTGGGTCTAGGATGCAGCCATTTTAGATTATAATATATATATTTTTAAGTAAATTCAGCATGTTAATATCTGGCTGAACACATGCAGAGAAAACCAAGTCAAAGATTTCCATCTTACAAGTCTCAAACCTAATCCATTATCAAAAATCTACTCCTGGGTCAAAAGTCTTTTTAAAGTGGGGGCCTGTCCGGGATCCAGAACCAAATATTCTCAGTAACCAACAAATGTGAAAAAAGAGGAATGAAAAAATTAAAGGATAGGGACTGTTAAAAATTTTCTAAAGAAGATGGATAGAAATTCGTTTTATGTTCCAAAAGCAGCATCTGGAGTCTGGAGCATGTATTTGCTGAAATAGCTTGTGTGTGTGTGTGTGTGTGTACATACACACAAGAGAATCGTAATTATAAAACGTGTTTTAGTGCTGTTTGCTAGCTAGAGGAGTGCGTTCACAAACAACAGGCATTGAAATTGGCATTAAATGTATTTTTAATTATATGATTAGTAAATTATAGAAAAAACTAAAAATGACCATTTTTATACGTATTGGTAAAATAATTTGACAAAATCCGAATTTTTGCTTTTTTTTTTTCATTTTCATCCAGGCCAGTCACCACGGAGACACCTGTTTTGACACACTCACCTGTTTAAGATGGTTCTGGGTGGACTGAGCTTGCCCCGGGAAGTTTCCCTCCAGCCTTTTCACCACCGTCTTCTTTTCTCGACTCCCTCCAACGCCACCGCTACCCAAAGAGCTTCTGTTATAGTTATCAAACACATGCCTTTACAAATAAATCAAATATTTCAATAGGTAAAGAAAGATGGAGAAATCTGATGCTACACTCGGAGAAACCACGTTCTGACCTGTCACGCTTTGATGTGATGCTGAATCCATCATGAAGGCTGCTGGATTTGTTTGTCATTGAGCTGGAGCGTCGTGGTTCTTCTCTGGTTTCTCTAGGTGTTCTCTTCAGTGTTTCTTCTTTTCCCATCATGTGGTCCTCCTCCTCATCCTTCACTCCTGAGAGTGCACAGTGCCACAGGTCCACATCTTCCATTTCTTTGTTTTCCCTACCCTCTTCTTCTGCTGCTGCTTTATTCTCTCTAACTTCTTCTAGGACACATGTGAGCTCCTCTGTAGTTACATAACTTCCTGGACTTGATTCCTTTGTTCTATCAACTTCTGTGTCTGAAGGTTCTTTGTTCTTCTCGTCGCCAGTCTGCTCCTTGTTTTCCTGCATACGGACGTCTACTTTAGAGGAGTTCTGTTGTCCAGATGTGTCCTCCAGCCTTTTCACATCCAGGTTGATGTTGATGCTTATCTTCTTCTGAGGAAGCACCTTTAGTCCTCCCTCCCAGACATTTTTTTGAGCCACAGACCGGGGTTTCATCTCCTCTGGTTTTTGCGTTTCTCTGGCAGGTGGCTTTACACACTTACTGTCACATCTTTGAGGTTCTGCTGCTCTAGTCTTTGGGCCTTTACATCTTTGAGTTGGACTTTCTTTCACATTTTTCTCAGTTTCCTCCCATTTTCTTTTTTGATTCTCCTCTGACCTGAACTCTGGAGATTTGCTTCCACCGAGTTGTCCTCTTCTCTCTGGAGCTAGATCGTTGCACGGCTTCTTTTTGTTTTCTCTCTCTGTGGCTCGTCTACAGTCGGTATCTTGACCGCTCTTCCTTCTTTGCTCTTTTCCTAAACGACTATCCTTGTTGGCTTTACTTGCGTGATTATTTTGGTCTTTTTCCAGGGTTGGGTGGACTGATTTCAAGTCGCCTCCTACAGATTCTTTGTGTCGAACTGAAGGGCCGTCCTTGTGGGTACTTGGGCCATCGTATCGCCTCCTCTTCTCCTGCCTGAGGTCGCACGTTGAGTCTAAACCAGATGAATCTTTTGCTCTTCCTGCTTCCATTTTTTTCTGCTTTTTCCCATGACTCAGCTGGCCAGAGGTGCCACCGGTTTTAAAGATCTGCTGATTCTGGTCTTGTTTTAGGTCCTGCAAATTTGCTCCCTCGCTGCCTTTTGTGACTGGCCTGGACTTTTCCTTGCAGCTGTCCGAAAACTCCCTCAGCTTAGCTCGGCTGTGGCATGGTGCGGAGTGACCGTCGCTGGATGACTCAGAGGGTGAAGAATAGCCGTCGTTGGCTTTGTAAGGCAAAGGGCTGTCATTGGAGTGATGAGACGCCATGGAGTGGAAGTCATTTGAGGAATGAGAAGGAGATGAGCGTTGGGAACTGGAGGTCTCAGATGAAGGAGAGCAAACATCCAGCCTGGATGAGTGGCTATCATGTGGGGGTGGGCAGAAAGAGAACGGAGGATACGGAGGAGGAGGAGGTGGAGGTAGAAGGGGAGGAGGAAGAAGCATTTGGTGGAAATGGTTGATGAAGGTGCTGAAGTATTTGTCATACCATTCCTGGTAATCCTTCTTCCACTGCAGGTAGCTCTGCCTCTCCACCTCCAGGCTGCTGATATCGTATGGAGAGCGTTCTGCCCCTTTACACCTCCTCGAGCTGCGGCTACTTGAAGACGACCTCTTTCTGTGATGTCTGCTCTTCCGGTGCTGTGAGGATGACCTGGATTGGGAATGACCGCCTCGAGAAGAAGAGGACGAAGATGGTGTGGAGGAGTGAGGACGTTTGTACCCATAGGAAGTGGAGGGATTAGAGTGGGGGTGAGAGTCTCTGTGGGTGGAGTGTGGAGAGAAAGGTCTGAAAGAAAGAATAGAAATCATATATGCATTTAAATCCATCCATCATTCAGCCGCTTATCCGGGGTCGGGTTGCGGGGGCAGCAGACTATGCAGGGAGGCCCAGGCTTCCCTCTAACCCAGCTACTTGGGACAGCTCCTCTGGGGGAACCCCAAGGCGTTCCCTGGCCCGCCGAGAGACATAGACCATCTTGCGTGTCCTGGGTCTTCCTTTGGATCTTCTCGCTGTTGGATGTGCCTCACCAGGGAGGCGTCAGAGAAGCATCCTGGCCAACTGCCCGAGCCACCTCAACTGGCTTCTCTCTATGCGGAGGAACAGCAGATCTACTCCGAGCCCCTCCTGGATGACCGAGCTTCTCACCCTATCTTTAAGGGAGAGCACAGCCACCCTGCGGAGAAAGCTCATTTCAGCCGCTTGTATCCGTGATCTCATTCTTTCAGTCACTACCCAAAGCTCATGACCATAGGCGAGGGTAGGAACGTAGATCGGCCGGTAAATCGAGAGCTTTGCCTTCTGGCTCAGCTCTCTCTTCACCACGACAGACCAGTACAACGCCTGCATCACTGCAGATGCAGCACCAGTCCGCCTATCGATCTCACGCTACAGTTTTCCCTCACTCGTGAAGAAGACCCGGAGATACTTAAACTCCTCCACTTGGAGCAGGACCTGATCCCTGACCCGGAGAAGGCATTCTACCCTTTTCAGAATCAAGACCATGGTCTCGGATTTAGAGGAGCTGATTCTCACCCCAGCTGCTTCACACTCGGCTGCGAACCGCTCCAGCAAAAGCTGAAGATCACGCTCTGATGAAGCCAACAGGACCACATCATCTGCAAAAAGTAGAGACCTGATCCTCAGGCCACCAAAACGGATCCTCTGAACACCTCGTCTGCATCTAGAAATCCTGTCCGTAAAAGTTATGAACAGAATCTGTGATAAAAGGGCAGCCTTGGCAGAGTCCAACTCTCACCAGAAATGGGCTCGATTTACTGCTGGCAATGCGCACCGAGCTCTGCCACCGGTCACACAGGGACCTAACAGCCTGTATGTGAGGGCGTGGTACCCCATAATCCTGGAGTACCCCCCACAGGGGTCCCCGAGGGACGCGGTTGAACCCATTCTCCAAATACACAAAACACACGTAGATTGGTTGGGCGAACTCCCACCCACCCTCCAGGACCCCCTAAGGGTATAGAGCTGGTCCAGCGTTCCACGGCCAGGACGAAAACCACATTGTAGATTCACCGTATATTCCACCCCGTGACTGAGCAGTCTACAGGTCATTGCCAGACTATGTATTCACGTCTATAGGATGACTCAGGCTACATTATCTGAACATCTGTAATCAGAGGAACATCAAGCTGTTTGGAGCTGGTCTCCTAGCCTTTACCTTTAACAAGCTGGTCAGTAATCGTCTTTCTAATCTGGAGAGACAACTCCGTCCTCAGCTTTCCGAGATGGTCATGGTGGTACGCACCTTGATTCCAAACAGCAACAACAACTTTTGTCCATTTAGACAAGCACACTCATTATCAAATTACCAGTTGATGCCGACTAAAAGACACACCTTAGTTTGTGCCTCACATTCAAATATCAGTTTCAAGTTATTTTAGTGACCATTGTGGGTTTTTTCCTTAGAGTCTTTCATCTCCAGAAACTGTATCCACGCCTGCATCTGTATAAATGACTGGATGTGTTGTGAAGCACCTTGGAGGGTTGTAGAACGCTAGAAGGTGCCATACAAATAGAAGCCATTCATCATTATCATTCATCACTTGCAGCATTCTGCAGTGAACTAAAAGAATGCCCAGTGTTTCCTCTTCCATCAGTCAGGAAGAGGAAAGCATGCAAACTGAAAGTATTAAAAAACAAACAAACAAAACTTGACAAAATAGATACCTCGATCTGGAGCGGGAGCGACTGGATGATGGAGAGTAGGAGCGGGAAGACTTGGATTTGGAGGATTTGGGATTAGAATAAGAGGAGAACCGTCTCTGAGGTGACCTGGGTGAGAAAGAATGAAGCATCCGGAGAACGTTTCAACCTCAGTTCATCTTCTATTAGGACGTCATCATCATAATAAAGGACGTGTGAGCCACAGCCCTGACCACAGTCAATGCTTGATCAGCTGACTGACTCTCTGAACTAATGAAAGTCTCTTAAGGGACAGGTCAGATTTGTGGTAAGGTTATAAACAATTAACATGAACTTCTTCCTTAAGTAGTTCTTCTAATCACCCTCAGGTCCAGGCAGGTAATCACAGGTGAGCGGGCGTTTGCAGCTGTAGCTACCGAACCGTGAAACCGCTCCTGATTATCAAGCATGTTCCAACTCCGTGTAAAGTAATATTGATGCCTTATGAAAGACATCAATAATGTTTGAGGTCTTTTTTTCAATCAGCATGACAGTAAAAGTTTTAATGTTTTAGGTTTTTAATTACAACATAAAAACGCCTTAAAGCGTTTACAGCGAATCTGCAGAACAAGTTAAGTTTTGAACGCAAACACGGTCGGCCACGAAGCACTAACCCCTACCCTCAGGTATCTTCCCTGCTTACATATATAATAATAATAATAATAATAATATATTATATATTATATTATATATATAATATATTATATATAAAAATGTATTATATATATATATTATATATGAAATATATATATTCTATATATTATATAATATATATAAGAAATATATATATATATAATATATATATATAATATATATTATATAATATACATATATATATATAAAAATATATATATATATATTATCATATTTTATTTGCCTTAGCAGCTTTGATTCTAATCTCTAAACATGTATATCAATCTATGCAAATGCTCTCAGACATCCATTGGTTGCTCTGGTAGATTTATTATGAAAGCTTTGCAGAAGAAAACCTTCGTTACTGACTCCACTCTGACTAGTCGTTAGTTTGGTCAGACTCAGAGTTACTCTAAAATGAATTTGTTCTTAAGAAACACACTTTAAAAATCCCTCCAAGATTAAAGATTTAAAGGAAATAAAATGGTTGCTGGTTCAAATCCCATCTACATGAAATCAAAAGTTGCTTCTTGTTGCCACTGATTTGTGATCTCAATTTTACTCAAGAACAAGAGATTAAATTATACAAAAGCAGCTCAGTTTGGTTAAATTAGTAATTGAAAGGATTTTAAAATAATGCAGTGTGTACTTGTCATACTTTAAGTGGACAAAATTTTACTTTAACCTGTAACGTGTGGACATTTCCACATTATCGGGACATTTTGTTGGTCCTCACAATGTTAAGCACCTTAAAACCTGCTTTAGAGGTATGGTGTGAATGACCTTTTAGTTTAGGTAAGGAATAGAACACCACTGGTTAATGTTAGGGTTAGGGTATGGGTTAGGCATAAAATAAATGCAAGTCAATGGAGGTCCACACAAGCATTTAAATAGAAGTGTGTGTGTGTGTGTGCGCGCACATGCATGCGAGTGTTGAGCTAGCATTGTGATTTTGCACTACATAGGTGTAGCTAACCTTACGCTGGAAAAAAGTAACCAAGTAACTTATACTTTTAGTACATTTTATTTGATACTTTTTCCTTTTACTTGAGTAAAAATTATGGCAAATACTTTTACTTATACTTGAGTAAAACATTTTTTAAGTATTGGCACTTGTACTTAAGTAAAACATTTTTAGTACTCTTGCCACCTCTGATGGGGCTCTATGGGACGGGGGTCTTGGCACAAGTAAATTGATATACTCTCTTCCTTATATTACAACACAGAGTATGACCATCACTTAAAAAAAATCATAAATAATTCTTTAAAGGGGGAAACCTCCGGATCGCTGCTTTAAAAATATCAAATTTTGAAAAATAAAAACTGTCAATTTTGGATTTGAGAAGGAAAAAAAAAACAAGTCCAGACAAAAACATCTAAATGGATTTGAGTTTGTAATCAGGTTTGATCTAGTTGTCAAGTAGAGACGCAGAACAGCTGAATGTTTACCTTTCGTTTTGCATTCTCTGATACCTGTACCACTCCTTGGGAATAAGGACGGGGACTGAGGGTGTGGTGGTAGAGGAGCAGAGGGACGGGATCGGAGCACCCAGGGGGGCTGGAAGCTTCCAGGTGGGCGTGGTTAGGGCGTATGCTGGAGAGTAAGTGCTTGGAAGCTGGTGAGTGGGGAGGAAGGTGTGAACAGGAGGGGAGGGAAAGAGAGGCGAAGATGTGGTGGCGTATGAAGGGAAGGGTGGGGAGGAGGTCGTAAGACGCTGCTGGGTGTTGGATCCGGTCAAGCTTCCAGTGGGACCGCCGGATGAGGAGGTGCTGATGTGAAGACGTAGGAAGAGTAAAATTTATTCACTCCGAAACAGAAGACAAGAATGAAAACAAACCAGACTCACTCGCTCCAGGGGTTTGCTGGTTTAAAGGTTGAATCTGTAAAATCAGAAAAACATTGACCATCATTCTTCATCCATACGGAGCTGCTGTCCTATGAATTTACTGTGACATCGAGTAACCGGTTGATCTCGCACAACAGACATAAAATGAGGTAGAAGAACAAACAGAATCAAGGTCTCTGACCTGAGGACGAGTTTCTCTGACTCACATCAGCTGTCTGAAGCTGATCCGTCACCTCCGTACCACTAACCTGGATAGGTAGAAACAGCACTAAACCCGAGATGCTGTGGGTGGGTGTTGTGACTGTTAGTGGTGTTGTAGTGTGTTCTTTCACCTGTGGTTCATGATTATCTGGAACATCAGAGGCAGTTTTGTCAGGAGGCAACAGAGAGTGAGGGACAGCTGCTGAATCATCACCCGTTTTTCCTTCATTCCCACTGAGAAAAAAGAACAAAGACGTCAATATGCAGCCCTTAAATGCAGCTCTTTAACTAGCATAGCGGCTATAATCAATGACTACACTAATGTAAATTGTTTTGTTCAACACAGATGCGTTAAAAGCACCAACCAGAAATGTTAATAAAAATACTTTGTAGGGTTTTAGTGATCAAGTCTTAAGTTTAATGTGTTAAAAAGAGGAAAAATGAGCAAACAAAAGGTGGTTTTCAAAGAGCACTGCTCAGTCTGAAGCAGCTCTGTACAGCGTGGTTCGAGTCAGCTCATCTGAATGTAGTTTTGTTCCCATTCCAGCTCCACGACAGTGTGCCCCACATAGATGCGGGTGGGAGGAAGGGGGGATCTGTGGCACTCGTGGGGGGTGTGGGGTCTACTCATGACAAAAAAAATAAAGCACGAGGTGATCAGTAAACGGTGTAAGGTAACCTGTACGCTCCACAGGAAGACAACTCGGCTGAAAGAAGGTGGTGCTGTTGGACGTTCTGCTCAGCTTTATGGCTTATTGTCAGACTCTGAACCAGGAAATGGCTGCAGGCAGTGAAGCAGAAGGCAAGAAAACTCCGGAGCAACCACTGACTCCGCCCCCCCCTAGCCAATCTGAAGCCAGATTCGCACTGCCGGCTCGACTCAGCCTTGTCAGGTACCTTAACGGAGCAGGGACTAAACATAGCTGCACTGGTCTGAGTTTCTTCGAGTAGTGCTCCTGGAAAACTAGCTAAAGCTTCAGAGAAACTCTCACAGTATGAACAGGTCAGAATATCCTCATATGTGTAGGTTTAATGCGTTTTGAGTTTTAGTGAGCAATAACGCGTAAACAAGGGTCAAATCAGAAACAACGGGTGAACGAAAGAAACGAACGGCACACAGATTTATCAAAGGCTTTTATTTTGAAAGGATTTTTAACTAAATTAACTCATTCACTGCATTCTTTTACTGATTGGGCGTCGGAACGAGCCCCCGCACCGTGAGAACAAACATCTCAGCTCTAAAGCCGATCTTCATCCGCATGTCACACGTCACGTGATCAGGAAGCAGAAAGTCCACGTGTTAGTAGGGCTGGGGGTAAACGATTATTTTTAAAACGATTATTCTGACGATTATTTTACTGAATGGTCGACTATTCTAATGACTATTAGACAATTAATCTAACGATTATTTTTCTATTGCACAGTTAATAAAAACCAAAAAATCTCTAATAAATTCTTTAAAAAAATTGATAAATTGTTACTGTAAGACAATAAACACTACAGGCCTTCCATTTTGTATAACACTGCTTTTATTGTGTTGGTTGGTTATGTTCTGGTTGCTTTGTTTTGGTCACCTATGTGCGTGATGCGAGTGGTGTTACGACCCTTCCTGGGGAGGCTCGTGTGCAAAAAGGAAGGGACAATAACAGGATTTAAAAATTAAAATGATGATCAGGTTTATTTACAACTACAAAAAAACATAACTCTTTCCATCCACAGGTTGGGAATAATAAAACTAATTCTGCCTGTGGGGAATTAAAACAAAAGTACAAATAACTAGGGATGTCCCACTGGGCAAAGATTACTGGGTTCTGGACCAAAATAAGAATCTCCAAAGGTCCAAACTCTAAACTGGGCGGTTAAACCAAACTCGAGGTGATATTTTAAACTAAACTGAAAACCCACAACACTCTTCATGTAATAAAAGGGAGATCTGCATCACAAAAAAGATGAACTCTAAACCAAAATGTAACAGCTTATCCAAACGCAAGAAGCTGTTAGCGAAAATGCTAACAGTAGCTTTACCAACGTTAAGTTCAAGTTACCAAGTTTAAATAAACGAAAAACACCCAGCAGCAAACAGACCAGCACGGAGGAGAGACTGCTAGCACCAAAACAGCTCTCCTAATGTCTGAATGAAGCTCCTTAATGAAGGGAGAAACGCTCCCGGTGATTTTCTACATCTGCGCTAGAGATGGAGCAGCGCATCTGACCCCGGAAGTTGTTGTCCGTTGCCGGGAGACGAAGGCGGGCAAAACAGGAAAGGAATCTAGTAGCGTTCCGGTTCTTCGGTATTTGGCGGAGATGTTGGTGAAGGCAGAGAAGAGGGTGAACTAGAGAAACAGGCAGATTCCTCCTCTATTTACAAACTCCTGGGGATGCAACAAGTGGGCGCGGTGCGTCGACTACCGGATCGGACGTCGACGAATTTTTAGAATCGAGCAATCGACTTCATCGAGGCTTCGCTACAGCCCTATGTGTTAGGAGATCGTTTTGGGCTGCTGTAAAAAAAAGTGAGGCACGAACTGGAAAAGCTTCTGCCGATCACAATTCAACAACGGATTATGAAAGAACGGATAACTCTCGAAACGCGTGTATTCTTCCTGATGTAAGAGGTGAGTCAGGCTTTCTTCAAAAGGTTTTTTCTCGTCTTTCGGCAAAGACGCAATAGTTTTGGGGAACTACTGCCACCTACTGGCTTGGCGTGCCTACGAATGTGCTTCACAATGCACTGGATCATCTTGCTGTATACAAAGGACCTGGATTCACTACACCAGCTGTAGAGCATACACTATTTCTCCAAGCAAAGGCTGTTCAAGAACTACAACAGGTATGACAGTTATTTACTTAACACATAAAATAATTCAAAATTGCTGAATTAACCACAAAAGAAAGGGAGCACAGAAGCAACTGAAGTGTTCAGCTGGATTGTTTCTGGTTCTGTTATGAATCTGAACTGGAATCAGAAACCCGTTCAATCCAGCTGTATTTTCTAACAGCAGGAGCTTTTTTTTCCAGTGGAAAAATGCTAAAACGTTGACTACTGATTTGATAAACCATAGTCCTACTTCCCTGCAACAAACAGCTCACAGGTATTTAAGGTCCTTTTAAGAAGTCTGTTTTTGTGTGATTATATACTCATGAGATATCTCTAGTTGGCTTTCCGTAGGAGGTAAAAACGTGCTAGACGAGTTCTCAGTGGTGGCAGATTTCTCAGTGGCTGTTGCTTCAGGGGGAACATCCGAACTCTGAGGCAACGGTGGAGAGTTTTCAGTGTTTAGATGGTTCAGGAGAGACTCCTTAAGACAAGAAACACTAATCAGACGGTTGTGAAAACACCTGCAGAGATGTTCGAGAATTATAGCGGTTCACATGAAACATTTCACGTAGAGGGTTCACCTTCTGGCTGCAGGGCGACTGAGGAGGCTTTAGGAGTTGGGTCTGAACGCCAACAGGAGGCGGAGTAGGAACAGGAGTCGATCCTGGAGGTGAATTCTTGGACTGCGAGGCGACACAACCCTTACCCAAGCTTTTGGCAAAGCTTTGCCCGTTCTTAAAATGAACAACAGCCTGAGTTGGGAGACAGATAAATAACTAAATGACTGCCGCCAGCTTAGTTTAGTATGCAAGAAAGTTTATTTATATAACACTTGTCAAAGAAAAAACAAAATATTAGTGTTAATAAAAACGATACAACTCTAGTGAGGCAACACACAGTCACCTGTCTGAGGAACTTATTGGCTACCAGGGTGTCAGGGGAGACTTCTGATTGGCCACATGTGGGACACACATGGTCCTCTGAGTCGAGTAGGGCGGAGCGAATACCTAAGGGACACAAAGACAGAACATGGACGTGAGGATATGGATATTTCAGGTGTAGGTGATGTTTGAGTTGGTGCGTCAGGAGCTCACAATCGTCACAGTAGCTGGATCCACAGCAAGGTATGACCACAGCGTCCCCCAGCAGGTCTCGGCATATCAGACACAGGAACTCAGCCGGAATGGGGTCTTCGGTTTCCTTACCAGTAGTGCACACTTCTCTGTGGACAGGAAACAGCCACAGGTACATTTCAGATTTTTGTTTGTGTCCTTTGGAAGTTGTTAATACGAATCAAGTCAAAAATGAATGACCAGAATTTACCAAAGCACAAAAATAGTGAAATTATTGGCTACAACCAAATGTTAGAAAATATTATGACCCACTGGATGAAATCTGCTAAAACTTTCAGAAAGTAAACGTTGGCTCTGCATCTACAACTGATTCATGTTTCACGATAATCCTGATCAAGATGGCCGCCTGGCTAATGAACTGCATGTTGCATGATAGACATGTATGGTTTTATGAGGAGTGAGAAGCCTGACCAGACCAGGTCTATGTGTTACAAATACATGCAAATGAAGCTGAAGTCTGACTGTTTAATCTGTTGGATTAAAGTAGGGGTCTGCCCTGCAAACCATTTTCTCCCTCCGTCCACCAGGACAAAACTTGTTTAGAACCACAAATGTTACAGGACCTGTTGAAAAATGGCAGTTCATCGTTTTGGAGAAATACCAGCAAAGTAAATTGAAGCCAATGAAAACAAGTGTTTTCCCTCAGTTCTGAGAACAAGATAATCTTGAGAAAAAAGGTTGGAACTAAGATTAGATCTGACTTTTCTTCTGGGATTAAAGTCAGCAATCTCTTCTTCCTCACAGAAACTTTTTTCCACTCAGGTCAGTGATGTTGTGAAACCATTTATGGTGAAAAAAAGTGTGTGAACTCCTTTAAAATCACCAAGATCTTTTCTATAGCGCCTCTCAAGATAAAAATCACAGGGCGCTTCACAAAAACAAAAACATGTAAAATAGAAAAAAGAATTTAGAAAATGATTAAAATATATTTAAAATGAGCAAAAAATAGACAATTTTGATTAAAAAATGTAAAGAAAGAGAGAGTGAATAGGAAAGAGGGAGTGGATCCTGAGAAAGAGGAGAGAGGAAAAAAAAACCCCGACCGGAGCGGAGGCAGTGACTGACGCAGCACGAGCCGTTTTCAGCTGTCTTGTCAAATGCACCACGTACGTTACGAAAAAAGTTACTTTAAGTAACTTTAAAGTAACTTTAAAAAGAAGCAAACTGAAGAAAACATAGGGAGTACTGAAGAAACGTGAACAGTGAAGCAAGCACAGAGAGATCCGTTATTGTCTGTGAGTGTGAGTGTGAGTGTGTGTGTGTGTGTGTGTGTGTGTGTGTGTGTGTGTGTGTGTGTGTGTGTGTGTGTGTGTGTGTGCGTAGATGGACCGGACTGAGCACCCGGCTGCAGAGTTTTGTGTGTGTAGGGAGGGGCGGGCGCTCTATTTGACTGGCCAATCACAGAGCGTGAAGACAGTCAGTTACCCAATGAGGATTTTCCTTCAGCACGATTACAGATATTTACGAGTTTTACTCGTTTCATGCTCGTACTCTTCAAAAATACTTTATCCGTACCGGATACTCGTCTGAAACGAGTATCTGGCTCATCCCTACTGAATTACATCTTCAAACGTCATCAGGCAGAAAAAAAACATGGCTCCAATGTTCTCTGGTCATTCTGATGCATCTGTGTGTGTGTGATCATTTACTCATTAGATATGCCTGCTTGGCTTTCCGTAGTATTTAAAGATGTGTTAGACGAGGTCTCGGCACAGGCGGCACCTGCTGCTTCAGGGGGAGCATCGGAACTCGGAGGCTTTTGGAGTTGGCTCTGAACGCCAACAGGAGGGAGGGCGGGACCCAAAGTCGATGCTGGAGGAGAGTTCTTGGCACAGCCTTGTCCTTTCTTAAAGTTATTAACAACCTGAGTTAAGAGGGACAGAAATAACAAAACAACTGCTGTCGGTTTATTTTTATATCAATAAAAAGGATACAACTCAAGCGAGACATTACACATACCTGTCTGAGGAACCTATTGGCTACCAGGGTGTCAGGGGAGACATCTGATTGGCCACATGTGGGACACACATGGTCCTCCGAGTCCAGCAGGGCGGAGCGAATACCTAAGGGAAACAACAAAACCTTCATGTGTCACACATCCTGGTACTTTCAGGTAAGGGTGAAGTGTGCTACAGACGCTCACAATCATCACAGTAGCTGGATCCACAGCAGGGTATGACCACAGCGTCCCCCAGCAGGTCGCGGCACATCAGGCACAGGAACTCAGCCGGTACCGGGTCCCCCTTGCTTTCACATTTAGGTTGTTCAAGTGGGATGAACGGAGGCTTCTCCTTCTTACCGACAGCGTACGCCTCACTACGGACAGACAAACACACCACAGATAGAAAAAGAAATGAAAATTTCACAACAGCCATGTATGAAGCACGTAGCTCTGTGCTCCTGCGATCTTTGATCTTCTGCAGGTTATTCTCATGCTGTTTGCTATTGAGAAATGTCATGAGCTCTACTGCTTTTATTCATTCCTCACAGACGGTAGCAAAACAGTGCTGAATAGGCCGCGCAGGTGTGGACACGGCTGTGACCAACAGACTGCTCAGATGGTACGATGATGGTGTGGACAGTGCGAGCACAGTGATGTGTGACTACACTTTAATAGATTCCTGCAAAGCTGGTTGACATCTCCCTCCACTGAGAGGCGAGAATCAGTTCTACGATATCAGAACACTTATGAAGTACGGGCATCTGTGCATCCCTGACTACTGACTGCATTGATAATATCAGATTATCTATCATAAAAAAAATGGATGAGGTGGCGCTGAAATACTTTCAATAACCAATCGAGAGGCCTTCCATTTCATTTTAACATTCATCAAAAATGACATTTTGATTCACACTCACGCATCTATGGCGGGAATTGCGTAGCGCCCACAGTTGGTCAGCATGACTCCTTTAATGCTGGGGTCCTTCACCTCAACCAGTAACGAGTTAGGAATTCCTGTGCTCTTCCTGATCTTGGGAGGACCCTGGAAGTTTTTATCCTGCTGTCAAAAAACACAATTCTACCGTCACGTAAAGGCATGAAGATCAGGTCAGGATGGACGCAGACCCCATACCAGACAGATACCAGCAGAGCTGAAGATCAACAACCACCCAGCAAATTCTCCATGTATAAATGCAGATGATAGAAGAGCTACTTCATGATGTCTATGGAGTGTTTTGAAACATGAAATTGAATTTACACTCAACAAAAGGATTATTAGGAACACCACACTAATACGGTGTTTGACCCCCTTTCACCTTCAGAACTGCCGTAATTCTACGTGGCATTGATTCAACAAGGTGCTGAAAGCCTTCTTTAGAAATGTTGGCCCATGCTGATAGGATAGCATCTTGCAGCTGATGGAGATGTGTGGGATGCACATCCAGGGCACGAAGCTCCCGTTCCACCACATCCCAAAGACGCTCTATCGGGTTGACATCTGGTGACTGTGGGGGCCGTTGTAGTACAGTGAACTCACTGTCACGTTCAAGAAACCAGTTTGAAATGACTGGAGCTTTATGACATGGTGCATTATCCTGCTGGAAGTAGCCATCAGAGGATGGGTATGGTGGTCATGAAGGGATGGACATGGTCAGAAACAATGCTCAGCAAGCCCGTGGCATTTAAACCATGCCCAGTTGGCACTAAGGGGCCTAAAGCGTGCCAAGAAAACATCCCCCACACCATGACACCACCACCACCAGCCTGCACAGTGGTAACAAGGCATGATGGATCCATGTTGCAACATCCAGAGAGGGTAAATCTTCACCTATACATTGACCACATTGAGACCGGTCATCTACAGAAATAATTACATTTTCTAAGCGAATTTTATATTCTATCTTCTAACACCCAGAAGATTCTGCAGTGCTTGCTGACATTACATGAAGACAAGATTGTCAGCCTATGTTCCCAAACAAAGCTTTCTTCTGATAAAACTGCTGGATTCCACTCTCTGAATGAAAAGTGACCTTTTACAACTCATACGTTAAATAATCATTAAATAATCATGGTTGAATGAACCAGATGTTAGATGAATAATAATAATAATAATAATGTTTGAATAATCTGTGCCTAAATCAGTGAAGTTGAAATGAATATTATTGCTTACAATGATCCATTACACGTTATGGTGAGTAATGTTTCATTTAACAAGTGAATCACAATCTACACTCACATACATTGTTCATAAGATATAAGTTACGGTTAAGGTCGCATCTCACATAGAGTTTAAAGATTCTTTATCCGCAGATCATGAACATCTTGTCGACAAACATGTCAAATTCTGATTCGTAGAAATGATGAACTCAAGATTATTAAAACTAGAGTGACTGCCGAGTTACTCAGTTTCCAGCTGGCACTCCGAAGTGGCCACTTTGGAACCAGCCTCTTCTGAAACATCTCTGACACACTGTCAAACCTGTTTGCATGCTGTAAGCTGACACAGCTCGACTCCTTAAGAGACCATCCGTCTTAGTCTAGGGGTTGTATCAACTAGTCGACTTCAACTGCTCTGTGGTGACTTTTTATGCCCGTCATCGACTAGTCGCTGTCACGTGATAATGACAGACAAGATGCAGTCCTCGGAAAAGACAGCAGGTGACGAGCCCCTGCGCGTCGGGAGGCGACGCGCTGTGCCAGAGCGTCGGTATCTGACGCCCGCCGTAAAAGGGACATTTGACCGAATTGTGACGTTTACCCTCTTGCAATTTAACCTTCCCCTCACCCCCATCCTAACCTTAACCAGCTTGCGCATGCAAAGCTCTGATCGTTGACGCGCTCCAGACATCTGCGTTCTGAGCACGGCCACATTAACATTATTAAATTAGGTGTCGCCACCTCAAAAACAAATTTAGCACGTGATCGTTCATGTCGGCTCATTTCCTTTTATGTTTTCTGTCTTTTATTTGTGCCTGATGCTTTCGCTGCTGTGGAGCGGAGCGCATCACCTGTTTTGTCCTCCGGTGACTTCACCTCACAGGTGCGGCCGGCGAGCACTCCGCTGTTTTTGCGGTCGGTAGATCTTTTAGAACTGCAGTTCAAAGGTAACTCATGAGGTGAATATATATGAACCCAGGTAGCAGTTTTTCTTTAGGATTGAGAGGAGATGCAGGAAGATAATGAACAGAGACAGGACAGAAAAATAGTCAAATAAAACAAGTTAGTTTTTGTACCTGTTGGATGCAACAAACAGACACCACTGAAGGTAATCAGAAGTGAGGAACAGAAAATGAAATAATTATTTTAATGTTTAGAGCAGCAGGAACTCTGAGAGGCTGCAGGCGCATCAGTGAGTTTGCGGCCGCTTCGCAGAGGGAGGGGGGAGAGGGCTGATGCAGAAACTACCTTTGTTAAAAGAAATGTTTAACTTTGAAAAAGTGGGCGCAATTTTAATTGTCAAAAACTCCATTGAACCAACCCCCCCCCCTTCTGCTGTTGTAGCCCATCCGCCTCAAGGCTGTGCGTGTTGTGGCTTCACAAATGCTTTGCTGCATTCCTTGGTTGGAACGAGCGTTATTTCACTAAAAGTGGCTCTTCTATCAGCTTGAATCAGTCGGCCCATTCTCCTCTGACCGCTAGCACCAACAAGGCATTTTCACCCACAGGACTGCTGCATGCTGAATGTTTTTCCCTTTTCACACCCTTTGTAAACCCTGGGTTGTGGGTGGAAAATCCCAGTTACTGAGCAGAACTCAAAATAGCTTAAATCACCTTTCTTTCCCATTCTGACTTTCAGTTTGGAGTTCAGGAGATGGTCTTGACCAGGACCACACCCCTAAATGCATTGAAGCAACTGCCATGTGATTGGTTGATTAGATAATTGCATTAAGGAGAAGTTGAACAGGTGTTCCTAATAATCCTTTAGGTGAGTGTGTATTTAGAATGAACTGTGGATGTCTCAGTAAAACCATTCAGATTTAACATGACTGAAAGTACTTCATCTGGTTTCGAGAGGTGATGTGTACTCACCCCATTCATTGGGCAGTTCCTGATGTGGTGTCCGGTATTTCTACAGCGGTAACAGGTGTAGTTTTCTGGTAGGACGGTGCCAGGCTTTGTGTTCAAGCTGCAGAGAGAAACAGAGGAAAAGCAGCATGACACCAAAGGAAAATGTAATAAAAAATACACATAATTAAAAATGGAGGAGCACAGGGAGCATCAAACAAAATTTAAAGGGGACATAAGATGTGTTTTCTCCACTTATAATAGTTCTATGGTCGTTCTGTGCACTAAAGCCCTCACATAAAGCTACTGTAGAAGCTTAATTTAAACAGTTTCAGTACCTTCCAGAATGAGCCATTTCAGGGCTCTGTCATTTTAAGAAAACAAGTTGGAACAGGCCATGCTCTACTCTCCCTGCTCAAACTGCTATTGACCCTTTGAATGTGATGTCACCCTACTCATGGGAATGCCTCTTTTGCCAAGATGACCATCGAAGGAACTGTTTATGTCCATTAACAATTCTGCTGAGCTAGCTAGTTCGAAGTCTTATATCATTTTTATTTTTGCTATTTTGTCAGTCTCACAGTTCAGTGGTAAGGGCTTGCTGCACCAACAGACGAGTCTAAACTCAACTCATCTGTTTGTCGACTACTTTGATGGAGACAGAAGATGGAGACGAACCATCCATCCATTTTCAGCCGCTTATCTGGAGTCGGGTCGCGGGGGCAGCAGCCTAAACTGAGACGCCCAGACTTCCCTCTCCCCAGCTACTTGAGCCTAGCCTAGTGAACTAGACCAAATTCTTGCTTTGCAAAGTTTGGTCTAGGAACACTCCACTGGAACCTCTGCAGCCCCTAACAGCATTCTGGCTGGCCAATCACAGCTCTCTAGAGGGGTTTCAAACACAAAGAGCTGTGATTGGTCCATAATGGTGGGCCAATGAGTGCTCTATCTGCTTAGTGAACAAATCACTGAGCTTTATCCACTTTGTGGGCCAATCAGGGCACTCTATATGCCTGGTGGGTGGGATGATGCAACAGAGTGAAACAAGATGGCGACAGCTCGTTTGAAACGGCTTTTACATCAATGTTGGAGTATTAGAACTTGGGCTTTATTAGAATCAGGAGCAGATAGATGTATTTAAGTGCTTTATTTTATTTTATTTTTTTTTTAGAAAAAATTATGTTTTCTCCTTCAACTGCGGACCGCCTCATTTACCAATAGCTGCGGTGAGTATGTCACATTCATTGTCCAGTAGCATGCGGAGATCATTTGAAAGGCAACGGTAGAACCCGCCCCACAACCGAGAGCCGTCAATGGAGCGTTGCCAGACTAAATAATACATTTATTTAGTCTGGCTTGCCAGGCTAACTTGAGCCAGCTCTTCCGAGGGAATCCCAAGGCGTTCCCTGGCCAGCCGAGAGACAGTCCCTCCAGTGTGTCCTGGGTCTTCCCTTGGGTCTCCTCCCAGTTGGACGTGCCCGGAGATGAACCCCGGCAGTTACTCAAACGGACCAGCAGTCCTCAATGCATTTCAGCAATCACTTTTAACAGGTGAGATTAATGTTCATTTATTCCATGAGAAAGTCAGAGGCTGGCTGTGATGGACCTGCAATGTGCTTATACTATTTTGAAATCATTATCCTTTAATGGAGGACGTGCGTTACCGTCCACTAAAACAAAAAGCTAGATAGTAATATTGTTCTAATGTAGGATTATGCGTGGTAAAATTGCGTTATTTATCTGGCATGACGCGCTTCGCTGCAATCTGATATCTTAAACCCGGTGACCTGACCAGTGACAACACTGGTAGGGATCCTGACTTTTATTTATTTATTTGTTTTTAAATCAGCTTCAGTGTAAAGTAAAACACTGTTTATCGCATAATTTTAAAAATTCAGTGGGATGAATTCTGGTAAAGTCAGTAACTTGACCAAATCGGTGAGCGCAACAGCAGGGAGAGTGGTAGTAAGCTAGTTAACCAACTTTGTAAATATCACTGAGCCCCCCTCCCCCACAACTCACTGTTGACGTTCACTATGGTGGACCCACGTGATCAGGTGATGCAGGTGCAAAAGGTCAGTAAACTGAGAAGCTCTAGACCTGCTCCCCCAGCAGCAGCTCCCTGTTGTGCGACGGCGGGGGTTCTATGCTAATTTGTGACATCCCAGAAGAGGACCTGTTTAAGGCACATAATTCTTAAAACTAAAAACGGACAGAAATCAGATATTTTTTCATGTTTGGAGTGTCATTAGATGCAGTGGAGACCCACATGGAGGCACCAAAGGATGCTAAAGGTGAGTTTTGCATAATATGGCCCCTTCAAGGATAAATGCAAAAGCACTAGACCCACGACTTACTTCATAGAGGACTGACTCATCATGACTTTGATTTTATCCTCCTCAGAGACATCTGCATCAGCCAGGTTGGATTTCTGCATCTACATGTACAAACTGAAGTCATTAACAGACCATAATCAGGGTGTAGCTTCAGCTGATGAATGAAAGTGAGAGGAAGCATACCATGGAGAAATAGGACAAGGCTTTGGTGGAACTCTGGTCGCTCATCTGTTAGGAGTTGAACACAAAATCAACTTTTCAAATACAAGGAATGAAGTTTTCAGGTAAATTAAATGTAAAACGGTTCACGAGCTCCAGAAAACATGTTCTCTCACTAAATCTAGAGTTTCTCTTCAGCTCAGCTCAGGAAGGTTTGTATCACTCAGAGTGGCTCACAGTGTGTCCTAGACTCTAAACAACATCCGTGACATTTATTAGTGTTTGATTACTGTCAAAATGTTGTTTCTGTGATGTTAATGTCTTTATCTTTACTATTTTGTTGCATTAAAGCGGTCATACACTTTTTTTTCTTTGCATCTGCAGTGGTCTAGTCTAAATGAATGTCATGCGAGTTGTTCTCTGTAGGAAAAATGTTCTGGCGCTCCCGTTTCAGGAAGTAGAAGTTGGCCTAAGGAGATGTGGGTAGAAAACAGTAGCATTTAGAGTCTTACTCATTAATATTCATGATATTTAGACAGCTCACCTCCAATTGGCTCAGAGCAACATGACTCTACCACTGTCTCCATTCACTATGCAGCATAGATGTTTTATCTCCATAAACAACAAGCCTAAAGGAGCTCTGCCATGTTGTGGAGTTGCTAATGCTAACGGCTAGCTTCTACTAGCTGGATTTCCAGAATAAAACGAAAAAAGGTTTCGCAATGAACTTGGTCCTTGCTGAGAAGCTTTCCAACATGCGAGGATGCTAACATTAGCCTTTGAGCTCAAGGCAAGTGTGTAGAGAAGAGATTTATAAGATCAAAGTGGGTAATCATTTAACACATTTTGGGATTATTAGAAGTAATAATTGTTTATATTTATTTTCCCACATACAAACATTGATTCACAACATTTATAAGTTCTATTTAAAATAAAACGTGCAGCAGACTAAAACCAGACCAACCTGAAATACTAACTTTTATCCTAACTGACAGGGGGGACTTGTCAATCAATAGAGGAAATCCACTGAAGTGGTGAAATAATGTCCAATAAATTTGCCTGAAGGAACAAAACTGAACTATAGCTCACAAATGTCAGCATAAATCAGGAAATGTGATTTTTTTCATTAAGTTCTCTAAAGTGTAATGAAAAAATAAATCAATCCATAACAGCTTCATCCAAGTCGTTTTATTGATGCGAAAACAAGAAACCAGAGAGAATATAAGTTCACTCCAATTCACTTAGAAACATAGAAAAACACGGTAATCACTGACGGTCATTGATGTAAACCATAAACAAAAGAGCATCACAAGAATTCAAGTTTAACTAAAAGCAATTTATAAATTGTTCCTGAGTCTCCAGTAAAAATATTTATATTCCCTATAAATCTAAAATCTTCACTTTTAGTCTAAAATTCACTTTAAAATTGATAAAAAATGATTTCCTTGATTATAAATATTAATTTTGTTTGAAATTATCTTCAAAAACAGTCCAATAAAACAAAAAATTATAGAATAGTCTCAGAGTGGGAGAGATGATAAAGAGCTGAGAGTCTGATGTGACGGCAGTTGGGGTTTTTATCAGCTGTGAGTCGCTGATAAAGTCTGACCCGCCCTCATGACCCCGGTCTGGTGACACCGCAGCTTGTTTCAATGACAGCTGAGAACTTCTGTTTGAGGAAAATTTCAACCGACATTGCTGACGCCGCTGGACCATTTTAGGTCGGCGGAAGCCCCCTAAAAGGGTCCTAAGCCCCCCAACTCTGAATCCTAGTGACGTCCCTGACCGACAGAAATGTAGATTTGTATCGTTTTCTCCTCTGGTGAACCAGTGTGGTTCAAAGGCAGCTAGGAAAATAGTTTTATTCTCTCGTTTTCAAGATTAAAGTCAAAATATTAATGAAAATGTCAAAATGGAGAGAAAAGTTGCTATTAAATTTGACTAACGAAATCAAAATACTTTCAAATCAAGTCAGAATGTCGAGGTTAAAGTTGAAATATTGATCAAAAAGAAGAGGTTAAAAAGATGTAGGAAAACTGTTTGTCAAAATGTGTGAAAAAATAATCTAAATGGGAAAAAAAATTCCCAATAGTCAAGGCGTAGTTCACTGAAAACCCACTTTTTAAATGTTTTGTCTGATTATAATCGGTCTCTCTGAGATTCTCTTTTTTCATTATTTACAGTGAGTGCAATAAATGGACATTGACTCAATTCTAACATTTTTGGCTCTATAAAGCACCACGATGGTTTTGATATGAAACAAACATGATGTGCTATAACTGCAGGCTTTCCGCTTTAGTTTGAGTATTTACATCCGAAACAGCTAAACGGCTGATTAATGACTATTATTCTGTCCCATTGCTAATGGTCCCTTAACAAGTGGGAGGCACAGATGCAAACCGTTATAATTGCTACACAGTTCACCTGATTCAGATGTAAATATCCTCAAACTACAGGGAGTGCAGAATTATTAGGCAAGTTGTATTTTTGAGGAATAATTTTATTATTGAACAACAACCGTGTTCTCAATGAACCCAAACAACTCATTAATATCAAAGCTGAATGTTTTTGGACGTAGTTTTTAGTTTGTTTTTAGTTTTAGCTATTTTAGGGGGATATCTGTGTGTGCAGGTGACTATTACTGTGCATAATTATAAGGCAACTTAACAAAAAACAAATATATACCCATTTCAATTATTTGTTTTTACCAGTGAAACCAATATAACACCTCCAAATTCCCAAATATACATTTCTGACATTCAAAAACAATACAAAAACAATTCAGCGACCAATATAGCCACCTTTCTTTGCAAGGACACTCAAAAGCCTGCCATCCATGGATTCTGTCAGTGTTTTGATCTGTTCACATCAACATTGCGTGCAGCAGCAACCACAGCCTCCCAGACACTGTTCAGAGAGGTGTACTGTTCTCCCTCCTTGTACATCTCACATTTGATGATGGACCACAGGTTCTCAATGGGGTTCAGATCAGGTGAACAAGGAGGCCATGTCATTAGTTTTTCTTCTTTTATACCATTTCTTGCCAGCCACGCTGTGGAGTACTTGGACGCGTGTCATGGAGCATTGTCCTGCATGACAATCATGTTTTTCTTGAAGGATGCAGACTTCTTCCTGTACCACTGCTTGAAGAAGGTGTCTTCCAGAAACTGGCAGTAGGACTGGGAGTTGAGCTTGACTCCATCCTCAACCCGAAAAGGCCCCACAAGCTCATCTTTGATGAAACCAGCCCAAACAGTACTCCACCTCCACCTTGCTGACGTCTGAGTCGGACTGGAGCTCTCTGCCCTTCACCAATCCAGCCACGGGCCCATCCATCTGGCCCATCAAGACTCACTCTCATTTCATCAGTCCATAAAACCTTAGAAAAATCAGTCTTGAGAGATTTCTTGGCCCAGTCTTGACGTTTCAGCTTGTGTGTCTTGTTCAGTGGTGGTCGTCTTTCAGCCTTTCTTACCTTGGCCATGTCTCTGAGTAATGCACACCTTGTGCTTTTGGGCACTCCAGTGATGTTGCAGCTCTGAAATATGGCCAAACTGGTGGCAAGTGGCATCTTGGCAGCTGCACGCTTGACTTTTCTCAGTTCATGAGCAGTTATTTTGCGCCTTGGTTTATCCACACGCTTCTTGCGACCCTGCTGACTATTTTGAATGAAACACTTGATTGTTTGATGATCACGCTTCAGAAGCTTTGCAATTTTAAGACTGCTGCATCCCTCTGCAAGATATCACACTATTTTTGACCTTTCTGAGCCTGTCAAGTCCTTCTTTTGACCCATTTTGCCAAAGGAAAGGAAGTTGCCTAATAATTATGCACACCTGATATAGGGTGTTGATGTCATTAGACCACACCCCTTCTCATTACAGAGATGCACATCACCTAATATGCTTAATTGGTAGTAGGCTTTCGAGCCTATACAGCTTGGAGTAAGACAACATGCATGAAGAGGATGATGTGGACAAAATACTCATTTGCCTAATAATTCTGCACTCCCTGTAAAGCAGAAAGCCTGCAGTTATTGCACATCATGTTTGTTTCATTTTAAAACCATTGTAGAGGCAAAAATGTTAGAATTGAGTCAATGTCCTTATATTTATGGACCCAACTGTATTTGTCATGCAGGCTGAACATGAAAATAGTCTCCTACATTTATCTCCTACATTAGCTTCAATAGCTTCATTAGCTTTGTCTCCTCACAGATCTATGTCACACTGAATTAGCATTTATGGACTCACCCAACTTGACTCACAAGGGGGAAGTTTGCTGTAGGTTTAACGCCCGGGAATCAGCAGCAAACGGCTCGGCCAGTTTAAGCTAATCTTTAGCATTAGCAACTTCACCACACAGCAGAATCTCCTCCAGGCTTGTGTTATTTGTGGAGGTGAAGCATCCACGTTGCAAGTCAGTAGTAGAGTTGCGTTGCAGTCATCCAATCCGAGGATAGATGTCCAAATATCAGGAAATAAGACTCCATATGCTGCTGTCTGAAGCTCAGTAGTGGTGTGGGTAACTTTAAGGTCAGAGAAATGGTGCACCGGTATTTATAACTCTTAGCCCACCACCTGGAAGTATGCAGTTCTTTCAGGTACTTGTGTATGTTGGAGACTCTTATTGTGAAGGAACACAGCTCAGGTAGTTTACCCAGTAAAACTCACCTAGGTATCCTTGGTTCCAACAAACAAGTGGAGGTGGCACAAGGGTTTGCCTCCTGAGGCTCGACTTCTCTCTTCAAATATAATTTTTTTTTCAACTTCAATCTGAAAGCTGGGAATTTTTTTTCTTTCTTTCGTCCTTCTTTTCCTTCCTGATTATTCCCAAGGAGCCTTCATAGTAGACATTTGATTCATTCATGAAAAGTGAAACATCTTTTACCACAAAGTGCCACAAAATAACCTTCATGCAAGAATAAACTGGGAGGAAAAGGAAAGCTGATGCCTTTGACACGTTTTTGTAGTTTAGTTCTCTGTATCTGTGATGGTTAAGAGTTTCCAACAGAGATTTAGACATTTTTGTGAGCGGTATTAAAACTGTGTGGTAGAGTTTGGTACATACAGCTCTGCCAACTCCAAAGGTGTGGTGGGGAAACTGGAGATCCGATCGCTCGCTGAAACACAGAAAAAAACATTTTGTTACAAACTTAAATGGCGTTTCCAATCTCCCGCTCTGTGGTTTTTGTACCTAAATAACTTTAAAATCCCATTTAAAGTTCAAATGGGGCTTCAGCTCTTTTACTTCCACAAACCTGGATGTTTTCCAGAGTTAATATGAAAGTTCAAAGTCCATCTTTCACGTTTTCACAGGTAGCTGACAGCAGTGAATAGTGATTTATTTATCATTAATATTCTGCTGTGAGGTGGGTTTCAGATCAGCCTCTAAAAGAATAATAAAAGCCTGAGTTTCTTATGAGTGAGTGAATCGTGGAACATAACTGTAATTGTGCAAAAGTCACAACAGTCCTGATTTGGTTCAGTATCGGATTTCCACTTCCCTAAGATGTCATAGTTTTCCCAGCTTGACTCTTAAGTGGGGTTATGTGACCGAATTAATGGAATATTTGTTTTTGCCAATTTAAAAGGGACTTTACGGAGTTTTGAATTTTTAAGCTCGTGATTGCCCCCTCAGGCCAAAAGCGTAACGGCAGCTTCAATAGTAGGCTCGTGCACGAGGCGCGCATGCTGTACGTGCACACTCCTTAAGGAAAATAACAGCTGAGACAGTCCCGTGTGTGTGTGTGTGCGTGTGTGTGTGGTCCAGAGGACAGAGGACAGGAGAACATGCAGCTAATTAATTAAATAATTTGGTTCTGTACCTTTCTCTTCAGCACAGCCGACAAAGGTTTAAGATGGGTCAGTCCTCCTGCATGCTCAGATCATTCCCTTCCCTTGCTTGAAAAATTGTTCCAAAATGAAAGTTGAACCCACATCTTTTTTATCTGTGAATTCAATGCCATTCGGCGAGTCTCAAATAAAAATTTGGACATCTTACTGTAAAAAAATATACCATTAATGTAAAAAATAAACTCTACCTAAACCATATTCACATCTAGAATCGAACCCAAGTCTTCTGCACGGGAGTCCAACGGCTTACTAGGTGAGCTAAAGCACCAGTGACGACTTTTGTATCTGTAACATTTATATCCTTGATGACAGCTGAAACAACGTTCAAAGAACGGTTCGGAGTGAAAATGGCTATTTTGTTGCTAATTTGCAGGAAATATCTAGAAGAAAGTAGCTAAGGGTCCTCAGAAATGTAGCTAGGTTCATCACTAGGCATTAGGAACAGCAACAAAGTCGCTGAGTTGGCACTACCTCTCTCTCTGCTGCTAAAGCTACTGATAGCAAATGCTACAGGCTATGCCTGAGCGTGAACGCGCACGAAGCAGCCTGCTCGACCCGAGCATCTCTCTTTTTCTGTGATTTTACAGAAAAACAGGCAATCAGAGTAAAAATGCCAGGGCTCATTCTACAGGACCAGGGCATTGCAGGAGAATGTATGAAGAAGAAATGTATTATTTCTATACATGTTTTGGCTGTCAAACTTCCATAACGTCCCTTTAAGCAACATGAGAGCGAGGGCATTGGGGCATTTGAGGCATTTTGCTTACTGTTATTTTATCTGGTGCGATTGAAGCCAGTGTGAGGCGCTGCTAACAAACTGTGTTTACAAGGAAGTATCCGAAATGTGTGAGAAGTTCACAAAGTTTCTCAATTTCCTCTGGAGAGTTGCAGGGCTTCGCTCCCATGTTGCACGAATACAGGATAGTGAAAACTTTAGTCACCATCTTTTCTCACACAGCTACCAGATTATCATATGATTCACAAGTGTTGCAGGTTGATTTGCTTTGGTGCCATTGATTGGAATGGTCTTGGTCAGAGGGCGTCGTCGTGGGCCGTTATGGGTCGGCGATCTCAGGAGAGCATATCTAGTTGGACTCTCGTTTGGCAGGAGGGGTTAAACCTAAATGCGTACGGTCTTGTATGCGGCTACCGCAGAACGTTTGGAATTCTGAAACCGACCAAACTTTGCTACTTGTTGGCATCTTCTCGCATCCACGGACAAGGAACGACACAAACAACAGAACTAACTTCAGCTCTTCTCCATTTTGCTTGTGCAGGAAAATTGTTGCCTTCATTGATGTTTGTTGACAGTGTTTGCACCACTCCTGATGCCTCTGTGGCTACCGTGAATTACACTTAAAATACCATTTGAAGGTAAAAAAAAAGGGTAGAAATAAACTTATAAAATATAGGTGACAAAACATTGATTATGGTTATGTTAAACCATGTCCTGCTGTGTTTAGCGCTGGTAATTCCTTCTGAGAAATGTTTCTAAGCAGACTATGCATTACTCAGCCTGACTAAGTCTACAGGTGCTGGCCAGTAAATTAGAATATCATCAAAAGGTTGAAAATATTTCAGTAATTCCATTCAAAACGTGAAACTTGTACATTATATTCATGCAATGCACACAGACCAATGTATTTCCGATGTTTATTACATTTAATTTTGATATTTATAGGTGACAACCAATGAAAACATCAAATCTGGTATCTCAGAAAATTAGAATATTCTAAAGGCCAATGAAAAATTGTTTGTTTCTCTAATGTTGGCCAACTGAAAAGAATGAACATGAAAAGAATGTGCATGTATAGCACTCAATACTTAGTCGGGGCTCCTTTTGCCTCAATAACTGCAGTAATGCGGCGTGGCATGGACTCGATCAGTCTGTGGCACTGCTCAGGTGTTATGAGAGCCCAGTGTTGCTCTGATAGTCGTCTTCAGCTCCTCTGCATTGTTGGGTCTAGCGTATTGCATCCTCCGCTTCACAATACCCCATAGATTTTCTATGGGGTTAAGGTCAGGCGAGTTTGCTGGCCAATCAAGGACAGGGATACCATGGTCCTTGAACCAGGTGCTGGTGGTTTTGGCACTGTGTGCAGGTGCCAAGTCCTGTTGAAAGGTGAAGTCTGCATCCCCATAAAGTTGGTCAGCAGCAGGAAGCATGAAGTGCTCTAAAACTTCCTGGTAGACGGCTGCATTGACCCTGGACCTCAGGAAACAGAGTGGGCCAACACCGGCAGATGACATGGCACCCCACACCATCACTGACGGTGGAAACTTTACACTGGACCTCATGCAACGTGGATTCTGTGCTTCTCCGCTCTTCCTCCAGACTCTGGGTCCTTGATTTCCAAAGGAAATGCAGAACTTGCTTTCATCAGAAAACATAACTTTGGACCACTCAGCATCAGTCCAGTCCTTTTTGTCCTTGGCCCAGGCGAGACGCTTCTTGCGCTGTTTCTTGTTCAAGAGTGGCTTGACACACGGAATGCGACACCTGAATCCCATGTCTGTCATGAGTCTCCTCGTGGTGGTTCTTGAAGCGCTGACTCCAGCTGCAGTCCACTCTTTGTGGATCTCCCCCACATTTTTGAATGGGTTTGTCGTCACAATTCTCTGCAGGGTGCGGTTATCCCTAGAGCTTGTACACTTTTTTCTACCACATTTTTTCCGTCCCTTCGCCTGTCTGTTAATGTGCTTGGACACAGAGCTCTGCGAACAGCCAGCTTCTTTAGCAATCACCTTTTGTGTCTTGCCCTCCTTGTGCAAGGTGTCAATGATTGTCTTTTGGACAGCTGTTAAGTCAGAAGTCTTCCCCATGATTGTGGTGCCTTCAAAACAAGACTGAGGGACCTTTTAAAGGCCTTTGCAGGTGTTTTGAGTAAATCAGCTGATTAGAGTGGCAGCAGGTGTCTTCTATATTCAGCCTTTTCAGAATATTCTAATTTTTTGAGATACCAAATTTGGAGTTTTCATTAGTTGTCACTTATGAATATCAAATTTAAATGTAATGAACATTGGAAATACATTGGTCTGTGTGCATTGCATGAATATAATGTACAAGTTTCACGTTTTGAATGGAATTACTGAAATATTTTCAACCTTTTGATGATATTCTAATTTACTGGCCAGCACCTGTAAGTGCCAGGTCTTCATTTTCCCAGATTAGGTGTAATCTGCTGCTGTAGGGAGTTCGGGACTAATAGCGGAGAAGAACATCAGGTTTCCCGTATCATCCTGACTGCATATCAGGATGCTGTGAAGGCTAGTGTAGCTTAATTTGCGGACATTATTTCAACAAACTCACAATGCTAAATTCTTCTTCAGTACCCTTAACTCTTTGTTGGAATTTCAAGAGCCTGGCTCAACCTCCTCCATTGCTGGGGATTGCAGTGACTTTCACAAGTTTTTTGTTGATAAAATATCAACCATTAGATCATCAATGTCACGCCCATCTCCTGAATCTGCGTTATCGGTCACAAGGGCCTCTTTTAATGAGAGTTGAGTTGATATATATGCTGGGCTGAGTCAAGAGGCACTGAAACGGTTACAGCTAGTTCAAAACTCGGCAGCTGGATTCCTGACAGGCTCAAAGAAAACAACTCACATTACTCCTGTGCTGACCTCATTACACTGGCTCCCTGAAATGAGCTCCCACTTGTTTTCAAATGGTCGCCATCACCGCGGGTCATCAAGAGCCGCTAGAAGACTCATTTTTATCGTTTGACTTTTATGTGATACGTTTTTAGTCTTTTATTGTATTGTTTGTATGATTGTGTTTTGTTGTTCTCTGCTCTTTTGTTACTTTTATAGAAGGCGCTATGCAAGTAAAATTTGATCAGAACACACACTGACCTCTTGTTGGTCTTGCTGCTGGAGCTGGACTTGCTGCCTCCAATGATGGGGATTCTCCTGACGATAACAGAGGAGCCTTTGGAGATCAGACCTTCATCCTCTGTGTACTCTGAGAAGAAAGTGGCAGTTTGAAACATGAAATGCTTCACGACGTGGAGAAATCCATTTTATTTTAAGAACCGTGTAGAAATTTAGGATCATGAGGTAATGTCTCAAACAGATAATCTGTGAGCAATCAGCATGGGTCATGACTGAAGCATTAACACACTTTAGGATAAACAAATCAACATTTTAAGCAAAAGAGGCAATGGAGTGAGACAGGGGTTTTGTTCCTCCACCTTCGTCTCTCTCACTCACCAAAATGCTTTCTCTGGGTGGGTCTAGATCAACTGAGGAACTTTTAAAGTGTTAACAAGAACTCAGCTGTCTCTCTGAGACGGTTCGGTTGTTAAATGTTTAGACTTTTGCATAAACATATTTTAGTTCTGTGCAGAACTGTAACAAGCTTCTGTCTGGAGAAACTCCTTTGAAGTCCAACTTGTGTCTCATTAAAAGAATATTTTCCCAAAAGTCCTGATTGTGTTTCTAGATAAATGTAAGACGTCCCTTGGTGTGCTTTTTCTTCAGCTTGGTTTTGGCCTCAGAACGCTTTCACGGATGCGTTTTCGACCCGTGTATTGTTGAATCACAGCCTCCACCGGTGGCGGAGCAAGAACGTAGCAAATGGGTGGGCCTAGAAAAATCTGGATGGGTCTAATTAATTTCAAAGCTCATATGAGATGTGCGCCGCGCGTGTGCACGTCAAAATTACGTTTTTTAATAAAATCTCTCTAGCCACAAATAATCCTATGATAGAAGATTATATAATAGACACATTCCATGGATCTCTGTTGAATTTCAATTTTAAGGACTGTTACAGACGCTGGACTCCCGCTCTGGGCCAAGACCTGCACACTCTCTCGTGTGGATTTTTGACCGTTCTTCATGCACCAGATAGCTCAGGATGCAGCAGGAGGTGGTGCAAAACCAGAGATGAGATCAGATGATTCTCAGCAACCGCACCCTCCTCCAGGGAATTATCAGCATGCACGATCCAAGCGCGCGCACACACACACCTTGACTAAGCAGCATACACCTCCGACCAAACCCCCTCTCCTCACCGGTTCTCGGGGGCTCAGTCTCATTCAGGACCACGGACAGCGACGCACCGCCGCAGTTCGGGACGACTCATCACCTCCGGGATCTTCCACCCGAACCCCCGGTCCAGATAACAACAACAATAAAATGAACAGAGCCAAATAAAATGGCCTTAGAGGACTAAAGCAGACCCGACGAGATACCCAGATGAAACGATTCGTTTACCGGATTAACGTAAGTGCGAGGACAAGCATCAGATAAAAGGTCCTTGCATGTCTGCTGCGTACTGCGCATCTGTCTCCCCCTCACACCCAGTTCTTTCTCAGTTTACACCGCTGACAATATCGGTCCTCCGCAGACTCTGGGAGATGCCCGGTTCAGCTGTGAGAAGTCCAGGGCAGGAGGACGCTTCCGAGAAAAAATAAATCATGAACCTCACTGGGTGGCAGGGATGGCATCAAGAGTATTTTCTCTGAAGTAGGTTAATAGGTGCTTAGTGCCAGCAAGCAGGTGCCAGTTCGCTTTTTTTATGTATAAAAGACCAAATTACAACTCCAACAAGCAAAATGGAAAACTTATTCATAATATGATTAAAATTAATACCAGATATAAAAGTTAAAGTTTTTTTTATTACACAGTGAAAAAAGTGCACATTCATTAAAGTAATAATTTTATATTGTAATTGTTGTTACAACACAAATGGGGTTGCTAAGCAGTTGCTTGCTTGGCCACATCTTGGTGTTGCTATAGCAACACCAAGATACTGCCTGGCCCTGCCTCTGCTGGGTGGGCACTCTGGACCTGTGCCCACCCAGGCCCACCCACAGCTCCACCCCTGGCCTCCACCCTCACCTTCAAAGGGATAGGAAGCAGTTTAGCTTGCTTTTAGCACCCCCTAGTGTCTGTTATTAATTCACTGTGGTTATAGTGAAAATGAAACTCTTCGCTGTGCATTTTTCTTTTTAACACTTTAACTGCTGAAATGTGTCCTCAGCTTTCATTAGTTATAGGAGTGATTCGTCACTAAATCAAACACATCATTCTGGTGGTGGTGGGGCGGGGCCTGAGTAATATTTCATTAACCCTGGAAAGAGTGATTTTAGCACAGACTGGCACAAGAAAATGATTTAAAAACATGAATAAATTGCTTTTTATCCCTTTAATCGTGTGAGGCCTGCAGGGATTGGTTCTCCTTTTGTCTCTGAATGTCTTCAGCATGGGTCATGACGAGATGCTTCTAGAGACCTTTTTAGCTTGTTTGATCTCAGACGGGTTCTGTTGAAGGGATTTTTAAATTATGCAAGTCTGGTAGTAATCAGGCCAGGGTGTGGCTGGCCAATCCAAATAATCTGGTTCATTTGTTTCCTCAACAACCATTACTTTATCCATGTGGTTTGGATGAGTTTCCCTTAAAGACACATTCTGAAACATTTACAGCTTAAAATTATGTTTTTGAAAAGTTTTGGCAGCAAACTATCATCTATTTTCATTTTCGGAGCTGTGATAGTGTTATGGGGTCCCACGTCCGTTTACCGCACTACGGAAGTCTTGATTGTGTGTTGCTTTACGGTAGTATCATGCAGATCCACGATTTAGAGACTTGAGAAATGGCAGATCCACCAAAGAAAGCTAGAAATCCCTTATCAGAGGACTCTAGGAAAAGAAAGAGAATGCGATAGATGCTGGGGTATTTGATTCCGGGCCTGGAGGTCCGGTATCCAGGTCGTTTTAGTTTAAACTCCGTGTCAACACACCTGATTTCAATCAGCAGGTGATTAACAGGCTTCTGCAGAGCCTGAAGAGCTGTCGCACAAGTGAACCACTAAAACAAGCTGGATACCAGACCTCCAGGACTGGAATTGAATACCCCTGCAATAGAGCAAGAGCAAAGACCAGCTAGTATTGGAAGAAGAAGAAAACATGTTGTCTATAGCGCCTCTCAAGATAAAAATCATGTGGCGCTTCACAAAAACAAAAAAATTAAAATGTAATAAAGAATTTAGAGAATGATTAAAAATATGGTTAAAACGAGCAAAAATTTGGGCCGTCTTTTCCTCGCTGAAGAGCTCTTTTTGAAAGAACAGCATGTACTATGGAATCGGACCTAGCCGTGCTGCTAACGGATAGGTAAGTAAATTATTTCACCGGGATTATCGTGTTTGGTTGGTCATGAAGTTGTTATACAGTCCTGATAAAACTTTATTCAATGCTGAAATGCTGCTTGATGTGTTTGATTGGGCACAGGAGCTGGAAAACAGCCAGTAAACATGCCTCTTGTGCGCGACGGAGAGATTTGATTTTACGCCAGTGACGTTACGCAGCAAGCCTTGAGAGGGCGTCAGAGAGCATATAACTGCAAAGCTCAGGAATTCATTGTTAAAGGGAACAAACTAGGCAAAACTCACTTTTTGCATCCTTTTGTGCTAGTGTGACTAAAACCCATCCACTGTCTCAGCGTTTGCTTTTAGAAACGATGCGCCTAAAACGAGCAGTTTCAAGAAAAACCCGTTTGTGATGTCACTCACAACCAGGGAAATTAGCACACCCAACCCTCCACCACCTCTACTATAAAACTGTCCTGAGTATCGGAGCTTCTCAGCTTATAGCAGCCTGAGCAGGAGATGGGTGGGCATGGCCAGCTCCAGCTTGTTTTCTAAAAAAGTGACAGAGAACAGAATCGGCTCATTCTGGAAGGTACTGAAAACGTCAAACATAAAACTGCTGAAATCTTTATGTGAGAGGGATTTTGTGCATAGAACTTCACGAACATGTTTTGTGTCGCCCACAGAACAAATATAAATTACGAACAAATAAAGTCATTTGTCCCTTTTAATGAGTGAAAGTCATTTGGAAACTTTACTTGTGGTTGCATGTGGTTTAGCACTGAGGTTTTTCGCTACAAAGGCTGCATATAAAACTAGTCTTTTTTTTTCCTTTCCTTTGATGGTTTCCTAGATTTAGATCTAGGTGAATCAGTTAGAAATATACTAAACTGTGTTGCAATCTAGAGGACGAAAACAAAACCTGAGAATTCCAATTGTGAATTTGTTTTGAGCAAACTCATTACAGTTTCTGGGTGTACTCTGGCTCTATGTAAGCAGGGCGTCTCCTCCAGCACTGTTGGTGTTTTCTGAAGAAAGTCAGTTTAAGATGGATTAGAAAGGTAATCCACAGAATGCTGGCGGGGTCTGCGGAGATGTTTCACAACAGATAATAATCAGTGTTGGTCTGAGAGTCTCTGCTTTGGACACGTGTTATTGTGCTGTGGTTGTCTTGTGTGTCAGCACCACACATCCTGACTCAGAGGCTTGTCGAGTTATCTTGATTTGTGTGTGTTTGGTTGCGTTTAACCTGTTGGGTCATGACGCCTCAGTCTCAGCTTCTCCCTTTGCTATTTTTAACCAACACCTCTGGCTGCAGAGCCCCGACTACTGATCCACCATCAGGCCGTGAATGAATGGTGTGAGTTCAGCAGGAACGCCACCCATTCATCCCACGTGCCCCCTTTTTGTCCTGGTTCGACTTTTCTGGAACCGAAAGGGGACTGGAGCGTCTCACCACACACAGCTGTCACAGCTGGACCACGTGTTTCCTCCCTACACTAACTTTAACCTGAAGCAAAAACAAACTTATTAGTGAGGACGAGTTTCTGTTACCTTCTTTGGTTTGTGCGTTTGTGATCTGGAGGTCGCAGTCCCCGGCTTTCAGCCTCTCTCTGCCCATGATCTGCCTCTTCAGGTCGGTGAGCGTGATGTGCGGGCCGTCAAACACCACCGTGTCGTAGCTGAGTTTGGAGGAGAACTTGTAATGAATGTGAGTCATGGTAGAATAAAGGGGAAAACGCGGAGCTAACGCCTGGTTCTGAGCTGTCAAGCAGCAGCGGGGCAGCGTTTAGCTGACGACAGCAGCCGGTAGAGGCGAGGAGCGTCGCTAACAAGCTACAGCTGGTCCGTTAATGCCCGAAAAAGCTACGTTCACAGGCTGACATTAGTCGGCCTGAGTCGGAACGGCAGCAGAGGCTCGACCCGGGGTCTGTTCGCTCACTTTCCGCTCTAATTTCAACTTTTATTCGCGGTTACGCCGCTTTAAATCCGAGGAGCTGGCTGACAGAAACCACCAGCTGTTTCCAAAAGCAATGGCTCGTCAGCACGGCGCGTTCACGAACGCACCGCGATGCATTCACGTTCCTTCCGCAAACTCGAACATAGCTCGTACCGAAATGTTTTTAGTTTTTCTTTGTTTTCTCAAGTAAAAAAATGTATATGTCTGACACGGACTTTACAGCTATTTTGTAAATATTGGAATTTTTATATAATTTAATTACATTTATTGTTCTCACGTAATTCTAAGTAGACGAAACAATAAAACGGCCTTCATTAAATAACGTTTTCTACTAGTGACCTGTTTAAAGGGAACGTGTAATCTAGCTTTATTATATTTTCTTTGTCAAGTATTACAATTTAACCCGTCAGTTTAATTCCAAATTTCTCTTAATTCAAAGGCTAGCCTGTATGTAGGAGCTAATCTTAAATGTGAAATAGTTTTTTATGGAAAATGTTGAGTTACACATTAAACCCTTACGGTAATTTTATTGAAAAAAACAAAACAAAAAATTAATGAAGCAATAATTAATGAATAATGAAAATAAAAGTAGCAAGTTAGCAGAAGTGTCAGGAGAGATGCACAATGACTTGAGGCATCCGACCTGGAAAAAAATAACTTGAACATCTTTTGTAAAAAAAAAAAAAAAAAAAAAAAAAAACTTCTCTTAAACCTGTGCTTAACATAGACTCAACCTTTTATGTTTACGCTTCACATAACCGTCAAAACTAATTTCACTGTCGCGAAGTCGTACTTTTTCCGAGGAACACCTAAAGGCAACACTTCTTCCATGCCATGCACCTGTTTTGACTCTGGCCAATGCAAGCGGGCCCGGTGAAATCAGGAAATTTGGGCTCCATAAAAAGGAAATATTAATTCTTAATCACGCAGCTATTTGCGTCGGAATTTCTCATTATTATTTATCACACATGGTTTCATTAAAATGGCAGCAAATGGCCCGCACTCAATGGAATTCTGTTAATGTGCGACTTAAACAGACCACTAGAGGGAGACAAACACCTTAAATCATTCGGAACGTTCAGCCTGTCAGATAATTTTTGGACTTAATTCTCCATAAAACCCTAACAAAATCTGTTTTAGGCAGTAACCTAGATTGAAATAAACGTTTGTATTAAAAATTTTAACAAAGAAACACATTATTTCCATTTTAATGTGTGTAATTAGCTTACAGCTCCAAATAAGCCCTAATTGGACCTAATGCATATAAAAAGAAATATTTGAATTTAAATGTCGGCCCCTCAAATATTAATGCCATTATACAGGTTTTTACATGTGTCCATGGTACACTGAAATATAAAACAAGCCTATTTTTTTTGTTCCAAATAATTTTTTTCGACAGATACATAAAATCCTAACGGTAAAATTATGTCAAAAAGACAGACAGACTTCCTCTCTTGCTTCTTCGGTCAAAAACAGAAGAAGTCCAGTTGCCTTTTTAAAATATTACTGGGCTTAGAATGACCATATTCAGAATGAATGAGAGTTTTCACCAACCCAAATGCCTGCAGTTCATGCAAAACAACCAAAACCCATCACTACCTGTAGTTCACCGTGACATGCTGTCAGTCACACTTCTGGGCCAGATACTGGCTGATAACAGCCCATAATCAATGCTTGAAGTGTGCTGATTAATCCTGGTTGTTGTACAAAGGAGCTGACTACAGAATTAACAGTGGTGGCCAGAAACAAATGGACGCTAGAAAAGCTAGTATTTGAATAAAATAGCATTTCTTTTGTCACAATTAGGTTTCAGATCTTTATTTTGGGCAAACCAGTTTCTTATTTTTCTTATTTACTAAATAAGGATTGAAAACTAGAAGCCGCATGGGGACCCATGCCTTTGTTTGCCCTGGGCCACCAAACTGCTAAATCCACCTCTGTTGACTCTGTAGTCTGTAAAATTCTACTGAATGATATTAAAGCAATTGATTAATTGTCTGGCATGTCATGGCCAAAAAATAAATAAAAATAACACACGCCCGCACCGTTATCAGTTACAAATATATTTTAACATTTGATTGTGATAATATATGTACACAATAATAAAATGCTGAATATTTCAATTACTATACTTGGAAAATACTTATTTTCAGAAAAGGCACTTGAGCCATTGCTCCACCCTCTTCTCAAAATTGCCACTCATTGATGGATTGTGGGTAATATACTATTGCACCCTTGATGTACACATCGCTGAAATCCGCATCTTGAGAAAAGGACAAAAACGTGCAACTGAAGGATGCAAGGATGGTCGTGCGAGTATTGGTACTGGGTCTGAAGCCCAGCTCTAATGTGGCTCACTTCCAGTTCCTGAAACAGGCGCACCGGAGCTTTTTTTCCACCAGAATACGACTTACAAGGCATTCCTTCAAGGCCACTGATTAAACGAGCGAACCATACCTTTGAGGGACACATAGAAATGTGAGGACATTAACACAGGTTTGGTGGAAGAAATCATAGAAATTCGTAAGAGAGAGAAGCTAACAGAAGAAACCTGCAAGACGATTGGCTGGATTTTTTTAAAGGAAGGAATAGAAATGACACATGTGAAAAAACTACGCTGCACTCAACCCTTTTGCTTTCTGTCGGTCTCTCTCGCCTGCGCTGCTCTGAGGAGGGATTTGCCCTATCTTCCTTGGCTTAGTGCTCCATTGTGAAAGCAGTGGGTGGATGGAAAGATGCAGAAGGGGAGAGGATGAAAGGGCCAGCTGCTGCATTTAAACTGATGTTGCTTCTTATCGTGATATCAAGGAGGACATGTTCAGTGACTTAGCCATCAAAGAGCTGCTTCGAAACAATTACTTCCTCAGTTTTGTGAGCTTGTGAGTTTCTCCATCTTCTGGAATACATTATATTGAATGTTATCATTGGACAAAGAGGCACACCCTCATTGTTCTGAATAAATTACATCTTGCAGGAAGTCCCAGTCTAGATGTGATGCAAACAGAACTTAAAAAAACAAATTAATAAAAGTTTCACAAAGAGCAATTAAAAAAAACTAGAGCAATATGAAAAAGAAACGGAAAGAATGAAATTAATAACTGTAGTTATTTAGATGAAAACCAGACTGGGCCCAGGAAGGTGCCTTAAGGAACTCCAAATGAAAAAAATTTGGATCACATAAAAGGCCATGTTATTAAAATACAGCTTACATCATTTTAAAGGTCTCATTTGCCCATTTTTTCTTTCAAAGGCAGGAGCAGGTTTATAGAGAAGCTTCAATCCATACAAAATTAAAGTTATTCAAAGTCTGTTAGAGAGAAGAAAAACATCGGTCTGATTCACAGATGTCTTGGCTGCAAATCTGACGAGGAGACACATATTCCTATTTAAAGAGGTCTTTAGCAGGAATGAATGGGCCGACACGTCTGTATCAGCATGGAGGAGAGAGTGGCAGAACACGACAGGATTATTTCCTGATATTAGGACATCTCACCTCTGATTGGCTAACAGCAAAGCAACTCTACAACAGACTCGGCTTGCTCTGCAACTTTAACGTCCGCACATTTAAATTTACATTTCTCTGGTCTATCTGAACTGAACTCTGGTCAAGTATTTAAATATCTGGGTGTTTGGCTGGAGCCTAATCTCTCTTTCAAAACTCATATCCAAACTATTGTAAACAAGATAAATTTTAACTTGAAAACTTTATATTGTTCAATCAACCGCTTTGACTTTAATGTAAGAAAGCTGGTTGTCACTCAGCGTTTGTTTCCTTTATTAGATTATGCTGATATAATTTACCAGAACTCCACTGCATCTTGTCTTCACATGATTGATATTATTTATAATAGTTTATGTCATTTTGTCCTGCATTGTCTATTTCGAACTCACCACTGCCATATGTATAATCTTATGTCCTGGCTTACACCTGAAGCTAGGGGGAAGTTTCACTGGTTGTTGTTTATTTTTAAGTGTGTTTATTTTAATTTTCCTTCATACTTAACTACCTTACTACCATTTAGTTCTCATTACCACATTTGCAGAATGCATCATGTTTCATTCGTCATCCCTTTCTCTAAATCGGAGTCAGGAATGCTGGCCTTTTCTGTCAAAGCACCAAGAGAGTGGAAAAATTTGCCTGTTTTCCTAAGAATCATCACTGCAATTCGTCAGTTTAAAATCTCTTTGTATGAATATTTAATACCCACCTGTAATTGTTTTTGATTTAGATTTTCCACTTTTATCTTTCTTTTGTGTTTATCTTTTTATTTATTATTTTTATTTTCATTATTATTAGTATATATATATATATATATATATATATATATTATTACTATTGTGGTTTCAGTGTATGGCATTGAAATACTGCTTGCTATCTTGGTTTACTATTTGTTTTGATTTTTATAGAGGACCCACTTGGAAATGAGATGGTTCATCTCAAGTGGTTCAACCTCTCGAAATATAAGTTAATAAATAAATAAATAAATAAATTGTTATGGAAATGTTATATTTCATTACTTTAATCCTATTAACTGAATGTCCTGAAGCGTACACACACACACACACACACACACACACACACACACACACACACACACACACACACACACACACACACACACACACACACACACACACACACACACACACACACACACACACACACACACACACACACACACACATTCTTGTCCTTGTAACCTCCCAAACACACACACACACTCTGTCTCACACATGATCCACTCCCATTCCTTCCTCATCTCTTTGTATAAATAAACTCTGTGACCAGATGTTCGGGGCATTTGCCCTGCGCACCTGCCACAAATCATGATTTGGTTGTATGTCTGTCTTATTGCTTCTTGTCCCTCTCTCGCTAGCTGCAGGAAATGGGTTTATTGATAAACATGTTGATAAAATCCCTGACATAATTTGGTCCTTCGAGAGCCGGGGTCATGTCACCTCGCGGCTCCAAGAACCGATGCCGGAGGACTGTCGACAACCCAAATGTCCTCAAGCACTGAGTTTTGCTGGGGGGTCATTGGGGGGTCTTGACGTCGCTAGGAGGAATGCGGATCAACAAACTCAAGCCCTGAAGTGGAGAGATTTGGTGACACAAGTTTGTTTTTTATAATTTTGTCTTGTGGTACCGAGAGAAAATCCTAGGTGACCAGGAGTTAAACTGGTTGGTTCGACAGAAGGGACTTGTTAAATGGATTCCTGGAGTCCTGTTTTGGTATGGTTCAGAGAGAAAGATAAACAGATTCTGGAAATGCTGTATTGGTTGGTTTTTTGAGCGTTTTTGCTGAAATATAAACACAACACTGGTGTGATAAAGAGATGAATGAATAGACCGGTGTGATATTTAAGAGGTAAAATTTGTTTTTGAGCATTTAGCCTTGAATAGAAACCCAACTCTAGTTATTGGTTGTTGTTTGTCTTAGATGTCTGCTTTAACTGTTGTTCGAATGACTGAGAGAGTGTCAGGACTTGCTTATTCTTGTAGAAAGAAGGATATTGCAACTTATTTGCACACGTCTCAAGTTGGGGTTCAGACTTTTAAACTGGTTGGCTTATAAGTGAGTCCCGCTGTGTTTAGACACACAGTTGGAGGGCGGATTCGTAAGCCTAAATCTGACTTCATGCCGAAGAAAAGACAGTGTGGTATCTATATGGGGGAATAAGAACTCACTAAATACCTTTTGAGTGAATATTGTACATTGATGGAAATGTGGAAGTGATCTGAAGATTATCATAGGATTGATGGAAAACGTGATTTTGATAACCGCCGACGTGTCACAAATGTATTATGCTTACGAGGAAGCACAGAGGGGTGGAGAGAAAGAAAAGGGTTGAAGACGTGAAACAGAGAGAGAGAGCACAGCTAGGCTCAATAAAACCCAAACAACAGCTTCTGTGCTCTGAGCTAATTAAGTCTTATTAATGCTGCAAAGCACTATGGGATTTGTAGTATTTTTTTGGCAAAGGAGTCAGCAGGCCAGTTGGTACCATTTGATATATGAGCTCGCGGGCCTCATACTGTGGACCAGATTTGGACCGAGGGATTGAGTTTGACAGCTTTGCATTAAAGAATGTCAAACGCCACAAACGTTTGGGCGATGGTGGCACAGGAGTTAAGTGCTCGCCCCGTAATCGGAAGGTTGCAGGTTTGAGCCCAGCTCAGTCTGTCGCTGTCGTTGTGTCCTTGGGCAAGACACTTAACCCACGTTGCCTGCTGGTGGTGGTCGGAGGGATCGTGGCGCCAGTGCTCGGCAGCCTCGCCTCTGTCAGTGCGCCCCAGGGCAGCTGTGGCTACATCGTAGCTCATCCCCTCCAGCGTCTGAATGTGTGTGTGAATGGGTGAATGACTGGTTGTGTTGTAAAGCGCCTTGAGGGGTTCCAGGACTCTAGAAGGCGCTGAATCAAATACAGGCCATTTCAAATTTGACTCATTATTTACTTAACACATGCATTTAATTTTCATATCGAGTTGTTGAAAAAGTAGCATGAGATACGTTTAGAGCTGACTATATGTTTCTAACGCACCATTAGAATTGTTAGCTAAACGTTAGCCTCTAGCGGAGTAAGACAAAAAGGTGCTGTGCTTCTTAAAGTAGCTTTCCGGAGTTTTCCCTTTTCAGAAATTAAGTATGATTTTTCACAAAGCTTGGCTCAGAGCAGATGCTGTTTTTTTTTCAGCTCTTCCTCACCCGTCACAAAAAAAGACACTCTTGACAGACAAGTTGAAAAGGTTTCTTTATTTTCTAATGATCATACTGTATATAATTATCTTCATATAGATATTCATATTTATATCATGTAAGTAAAAGTGTGCTTTTATCCACAGCATGTGTCCATGTCAGACTGCTGTTAGTTGGAGGTTTACATTAGAAAGAATACAGTGAAACTGGCTGGCAGCTGCATGTGTGTGTGTGTGTGTGTGTGTGTGTGTGTGTGTGTGTGTGTGTGCAGTCAGTGTGGACAAAGACAGATGTGAGTGCCAGCATGTTTCTGCATGCATGTTTGTGTGCGTGTTCATAGAGAGAGCTATTTATTTGATGATAGGGCTCAGAGGTATGGTGCAGGATAAAACAAATAATAGTAAAAAAAAAAAAAAAATCAGTCCGAACATTTATCCGCCACCCATCGCACTTTCAGTTGCACATTTCAAACATTTCCACCTGCTTCTGGAGGGATTTAAAAAATCGCTACACAAGGATCCAGCTGTAAATTTGACTCGCAGCTTTCATTTTTCACTTTCATCACCGCGGTGGAGAAACAATACCCTGGTGTTTCTCCTAAAGACACTTTAGGATAATGACTGTTTGCTATTATTTTAAATCCTCATTTTCATCTGAATGGTTTCATCTTCACGACAACCGCTACGGTACACGCCAAACAGCCTGCTCGGGGGGGAAAACACCGCTCACCGAGCTAATGCTACAAATTCAAAATGAATCCTTTGCTTTGTTTTCTGTTATTTTGTGTTTTTCTTGTATTTCTGAATGAATAGAAACAATAAACTAATGCAAGTATCACTGACCATTCCCCTGAGTTTGCTCTGGCGTTGGTTTTCTAACAGTCCTCAGGTCAGTTTCAAACGGACAAGGTCGAGTTACAGTCATTTGCCACAGACTTACTAAAAGTTAAAAATAGGTTTCAACTGGACATTTGGACAGCAGCTACTTCCTGTAAAGTACCAAGAACTCCCCTGAACAACAGGTCTGAAACCCACATCTCTCTGGGCTATGCGCTATGGTTGTGTGACTCTCTAGGAAACACGATTGGAGCTCCAGTGATACACGAACAAGGCCCTGCAACTCCTGCAAGAAAATTGAGAACCCTCCTGAGCATTTTCAGACATTTTCCAAACTTTGCATTTGCATTTTGTCCCTAAAGCTTTCATCCCAGTGAGATCTTGGATTTACAGAGTGGTGCACATTGAAAAAGCCAACCAAAGATTTTCTGCAGTATTCACAGATGACCAAGCTGGTGGTTATTTAACCCTCCCACTGTCCTAATGGGTGACCCCGCAAGGAAAGTTGACCATTGAGCAGGGTTGATGGTGTGTCCCTTGGGTCCACGTGGCAGTGGTGAGGAGTGAGCACCACCTCACCCCTGCCACGTGGACCTTAAGGCATAAACCATCAATCCTGCTCAATGGTCAACTTTTCTCGCAGGGGTCACCCATTAGGACAGTGGGAGGGTTAAAACCGTGGTTACACAACACTGCTGTCACACTAGTCTTAGAAGTGGTGCAAACATGTTTCCCCTTTTCAAACTAAAAACCATTAAAGACAATATACTACACGTTTTGGACATTTATACGGAAGTCCTGAAAGGCAACAGAAAAAAACAAGGCTTAAAGTTCTCATTCAATATTTTTTTAACATATTGTAGCGGGCCAGGGCTGTTCGGGGTTTGTTCTGTTATTGTAGTTATGTGTTTGTTGTCATGTTGCTATGGTGACGGGTGACGCGCTCTCTCGGCGACTGTTTTTCCGGTGAGAGCGCGCCTTTTTTTGTTGTTGTTGCTGTGTCCGCGCTGAGGTGGGTAGATTAAACGGGTGCTCCCAAAGAAACCTCTGTCTCCTCCGTGACTGAGCTTGCTACATTGGTGTCAGAAGTGGGATACTCACCCTCGCCGTAATGGAGAGAGACATTCGGAGGCTGGAGCAAGCTATTGAGGAAAAACAGTCGCAGAGAGAGCGCGTCACCCGTCACCATAGCAACATGACAACAAACACATAACTGCAATAACAGAACAAACCCCGAACAGCCCTGGCCCGCTACAATATTTACTGAGGTGTCTAGTATAAAGAAATGCATTCTGAGTCAATCTGTGGGAAAAAGGTTCCTGGTGCTCCTGTTTCAGGAAGTAGAAGTTAGCCGGAGGAGAGGGGAGCAGGAAAACAGCAGCCTTATTCATGATACACAAACATCTGACCTCTGATTGGCTGACTACAACACGACTCTTCCCCTGACTCCATTTGCTTTGCATCCTTGATGTTTTATCTCCGCAAATAACAAAAGCCTGAAGGAGTTCGTCCGTGTGGTGGAGTTGCTAATGTTAACGGTTAGCTTCTACTAGCCGAGATGTGCTCGAGATGATGCTAAGCCAACAATAGCCTTTCCCATCATGAGCCAGGATGGGTGAGTCCATGAATATTAAGTGACAGTGTGATGTAGATCTGAATGTTCCCCCATCTATTTTCTATCAGTGGCTAATGCAGGAAATAGAGGTAGGAGACTATTTTCACGTTTAGCCTGCATGTGAAACTCAGGAGCCTTTTAGAAAACAATGCCGCCAATTTGCTGCAATGCAAAGCTAGCATCAGGGATCCTTAGGTGGTTTATATACGTGGTCATACTGTTGTGGTAATGTGGCGCAATCGTGTCCTTTTTACAAAAGATTACGCGATGGCGGCATAAAGAGGGCATGGGGGCGGTCTCTGTGCTGTCACAAACGTAGATTTAGCTTGGACATAACTTGCTTTTTATTGCGATCGAAGCGGCACTCACAACATTTTTTTTTACCAAGCTGCTTCTAAAGTTGTCCTCCACAGTCGCTCTGCAGTCTCGGTGTGATCTGACCTCCAGCTCTAACGGAGAGAAGCTCCCGGAGCTCCACGTCGCTCCGGTTTATCACCTCAGCTGGTTCTGTTTACAAAAATGAAACTTGTGCCCATTTTTACTTTCATTTTCCAAATAGTTTCCAGCCGGAGCTCGGCAGTAACTCCCCACGTGATCATGACACCACCCTCTGTTGCCCTAAGGCGTAATGTGCATTTACAAGTCCGGTGTTGTGGTTACATTACCAAGCGTGGCGGCACAAATGCTACATAGTTCCCCCAATGCCATGCCGCCGCGGCACACTCACTAGACACATTGTGGTGGCAGTAATATGCTGAAATGCCGGCATGTTGCTTCTAAAAAGGGCTAGAGTGAACTATCATATTTGAAAAATAACAAGTATAAACGGTTTATCAGAGAACCTACTCTTTAAACCTTTTTTTCTTGCATTAGGAAGCTCAGCCCAAAAACCTTAGCTGCGTTTAGTTTGTTCCACATCCCAAGTGTGTTTAAAACTGTGAATAAATCATATTAAATAAATTAGAAGGTCCTAATTGTAATCTTCTGCTTGCCTTTCAGGGCTTCCGTACTTTTCAACCCTTTTCAGAATCATATCGAAATGCCTGTAGGTAGCCGGTACAGAACAACCTCCACAGGTATTGTGAGACCACAGCGGTGAAGGGTGCTGCATTAAAATATCTACTTGCATACATCCCAAACACATCTTCAAAGCAGTAAAAACTTATTAGAAGGACGTAAGAATCTGGATCTTTTAAAGTCAAAACTCTGTGATTTAACTGAGACGCGACCTTTAGCACGTGGTGTTGCTACAGCTTACAGGCTGAATGTAAGTGATGCACGGCGAAACTCTCCACGCTTGCTCAAACATCCCACCATTCTCAGCTTTTCACGCACTGTCGGCCAGCCGTGGCAGCCTCACATAACGCTGGTGAATGCTGGAAACAGCAGGGTCTGAGGCAAAACTGAAATCCTACTCCAGGTCAACATCTATTCTGCTGAAAGGCTAAAGGACGACACAGAAGAGATACAAGTGCACCAGGGCCAGAATAACTGAATGTTGGCTACTGATTTATAGATTTTGTTTAGGAACATGAAATTAAGGGTTTGTGTGTCCTAAATGTATAGTTCTCTTTCTTGCTCCATCAGGTTGCATGTACTTTCCACAAAAAAGCATCACAAGCACAAAAGCTTCAAAGACAAAACAACATGAAGTCAGATCGGACCAGCAGGCTGCAGATCTGAAGTCAGTCAGATCCGGGGAAGAGGAAACTCATCAGCTAGCTCATACGGCTGAAACTACTGAGGAACGATGGGGGCAGTTAGCTCTGAAACGGATCCCAGTCCTACCAGATTGATTCATGGGAATGCAAAGGAGGTTGTCCTGAAAGCCCCATGGCTGATCTGGGAGCTGTCTGAAGGCAGGATAGGCAGGCACTAGGTGCATGGGCGAGGAGAGGCTAACTGTATACACACACACACACACACACACACACACACACACACACACACACACACACACACACACACACACACACACACACACACACACACACACACACACACACACACACACACACACACACACACACACACACACACACACACACACACACACACATGCAGGCACATTAATCCACCTGTAAGCTCTCCTCACATTGTAACCATATCTGTGTTTATGTGTGTGTTTGTGTGTGTGTGTGTGTGTGTGTGTGTAAAATGAGTGCAATATGTAAAGAAAGTCTTTGTCTCAGAACCAATCAGATACATTTCAGTTCTTCTGCTCGTCCATGTACGGTTAGCTGGTTCAGTTTTCGCAAAGTCCCACCTGGATTGACAAACAGTGACACACCAGGAACAGTTTTTTTGTTTGTTTTTCTCCAAAAAAATAAAACAATAAACATGACACAGTGATTTTTTTATAGAATAGGACACACACCCTTTCTGCACTGCAACAGCGAGAGTCGCCTCGTGTATCTGAGCGTGCACGTAGGTGTGTGTCGTTTGTGTATCGAGTGCTTTTGTTGCTATACTGCTGAGGACGAGCGTTCCACATAAAGCATGCTGGAGAACCAGCGCTCTGTTTATTCTCAAACAACAAAATTCTACCTAACTTCAATGTAAGTGTTTATTCTTATAATGGATAAATAATGAGGGCATGACGGGATTAAAATTGAAAAACGTCAACAGTATTACAAGAATAAAATCAAAATGAAGCCAAATGTATTTGATGCATTTATTGCTATGGCTGTAAAAGCAGGTTCTGGGTGTGTTTTTGCTGAACAAACTATAAATAACAAAGCACTTGATGGTTTTAAAGGTGCGGTACTTAGATTAGTTTTGTACGAAGGTAACTGCAGAAGCTACCCTCGATCCTTCCCAATATCAAACATACCCCTAGAAACACCTTATACTTTTAAATGCAGGTTTTTTTTATTTATTACCACTCTGGTAAAACTCAGGAATAATCATAAAATGCTTAGTTTGTATATTTTATTCAGGAAAACACCAAGAACCCTCAGGAAAATAGTAGTGAAGCAAATGCCATCGGCTTCAGGAGCACAAGGAGTTTGAAAAAGCCAACTTTAGTATTTAGCATGTAAAATATCATGATGATTTGGGGTCTGTTTCCACTATTGGGACTTCTGGGTAATTTTACTAGATCTTTGTGGCATGAGCGTGTCTCGGTTTCAGCGGGCTGACCAAGTAGGACCATTTTCTGGGCCATTTTTCAGGAAACAAAAAAGTACCTTCATTGGGGTATTGACAACGAAAGGTTTGGTTGTCTCATGTTGATTGGTCGTAACTCAGTAGGAAATGACATCAGCAGACGTCACCAAATAACCGGTATTTGTAAGTTTGGAACAGTTGCTGATGATAATGGAAAGAAAAGAAAATTAGCGGCGACTTTAAAATTGCTATTTTTGAACCCGCAACGCCCAAAAACAGCTGAGAGGACCAAGCCCTCGTATCTCCCGGTCACTTTTCTCCCTCCCAGGAATTTCCCAAACCTCCAACAATGGAAACACGGATTTTGTTCAGAAATTTGAACCTTTTGACTTGATTCTAAACCTTCAATTTCAACGTGGCACTAATGCACCTTACTAATAAAACAATAATCATATTTTAATTACATAATAGGAATAAAATTGCATCCTTCAACAGATTGCAGAAAACATATCCAATAGAGCACGTTTTAGAGGAAAGTACTAATCTTGTTAAAGAGGTAGAGGCCTCAGAAATGTTATAATCAACATAACTAACTTAATGGCTTCATAGGGTTCAAAATGATCAGCTAATCATTAATTTACTCTATTAGACATTATAATCTGACTTTTAGTCCTGTTAAAGACAATATTTTGGATATTAGCGGCAGTAATAAAAAACTGTCCTCAGAAGTATAGGAACATGTACATTGGACTGAATGTGTGTGTGTGTGTGTGTGTGTGTGTGTGTGTGTGTGTGTGTGTGTGTGTGTGTGTGTGAGTGTGCTGCAGTGCTGTGTGTCCCGCTGGCAAACAGAGTCTCTGGCACCATTGAGGTGAGGTTAGTGTCCATAAAAGAGTGTCCACGTTATCAGAGACTTCCCGTATGGTCAAAACAACACAACCTCACAGCCACATTAAATTAGAAAAGGAGACTAGAATAATATATTAGAAAGACTACAACTCCTGCTTCCCAACTCCGCCCACTGTCATCGATGCCCCGCCCAGAAATGAATAAATATTAATAAGTATAATATGTGACAGAGTTCATCATCCTCTGCACACTGGCACCTTTAGGATACTATTTTATACTAATACAATTATTTGTTGATATCAGAGTATCAAAGCAGTATGGTGGTTGGAAGAGACATGGTCTCAAAGAACACCCTGTGCTCCGTGAGGGGGGTAAACATCGATTCAGCGTCCTTACAGAGCTACAGAGGTCAGGGTGCTGTTTGAGACCCGGTTAGTGATACAGTGAATGTGAGCACTGGATGTGAATGAACATGGATGGTTTGAATGGTCAAAGCTGACATGGCTCATGGATGGCAGTACTAAACCTGGCGCCAAGCAGACTCAAAGGATCCAAGGGGCCCTTCGTAGAGCCGAGCTACATCTACTAGAGCTGAATCAGCAACCTATACAGAGAAGAGTACATATAGTAGTAGATTTATGACCTAAAGCTAACCTGGACACAGTGATTCACAGGAAACATTTGGAGTAATATTTGGTACTGTTTAAGAGCAATTACTTAGATAATATTATGCGCTTGCATCTTTAGCAACTCAAATGATAAGTGGTTATTCTACCTTTGCGTGAAGTGATGGTTTAGGTCTTTAGAAGTGGAGTTCTGCAGAAAATAACTGCTGTGGGCCATTATGTGAATGACCAGTTTAGAAAAATAGAGATCCCACCTTTATTCCACCTGAAATAACACAATTTCACATGGCTCTTGTGACCTTTTCCAAAAGCAGTTATTGACAGTATTGCAGTCCTGAATGGTCGAGTCCTGCACTTAACAATTCTGTGGTTTGCATAGGAACACTAGTGGGAGCTCACTACCTGCTTTACGGCAATAGCTGTTCACATTAGCACTGCTGGTTGCTAATATAAAGGCTAGCAGTAAGCTTTTTCAGTTTGCTGTTCATCAATAAAAAGCTCAAGAAGAATGATTTAACTTTTTTTGCTGCCATCAAGGCAAAACCTAGAAGTAAAAGTAAGAGAGATGTCTTTGGAGTCAAAGTAAAGAGCTAAAACCAGAGTGAACATCGGTGTGGCCTACACAAGTTTTAGGGACCTGAAGAAGGCTACAACATCACGGACTGATGGTGACCTAGCTTTGTTGCTACTTGACTTGTAAGTAATAATATTTTTGTCCAACAGTGTGGATCTTGTTACTTCATGGCTTAGTATTAGTTGGCACATGTTAGTGTTAGCTCTTGTTAGCACTAGCTACCAACAATTGCAATTCCACTTTTAACCACTAGGAGGCAGAAGTGAGAAATGTTTTTAGGGTTGCTTTAAAGATTGAATATGGAACATTTTAAATAAAAAGCTATATTTAAAAAATACATCCACAGGGCGTTTAGAGGTGCGCAGAATGAATGCACAGTTTCTCCTCAAAGCTATATTTAAAAAATAGTCACATCTTTATTTAGACTGGCACAACACTGGTTTTATATTTACATCTACCAGCAAATAGGGGGCACTGTTGCGGTAAAAAGTCCGCTAGGCAAGGCGATGCTGGGACTGTGTAAAATTGGCGGAGTCGTTAAGTAAAACTGCTGATTCTGAAGCCAGAAGATGTTCTAACGATAAATACTGTTGTAAAATAAATGTATTAGTAGTAATTAGTTCTTACCCTGTATGATTCAATACTGGACATGGCGCTGGCTGGTCACTTCACGTATCAGCAGTGAGGAACCAACACCCTGACGGCTGCATAGTGTTCTGTTGTTGCACTACCACCTCTAAACACTAGTTGTCGCTATAGTGTAAATGTTCCATATTCAGACTTTAAAGGAGGTATAGTTGAAATTGTGACAACGTAAAATAAACAAGAATCAACAAACGAAAGAATATGTGCGGCTCCAAATGTTTTGGGTGTTTTTATCTCTATTTTTATTCTCTCAGAGGATTCATCTGGTAGATTATGCAAATTAGATAACAGTATCAATTAGTGACCTTTTGCTAATCATTGTAATATGAAATTTACAGCACTATAAGACTATTTAAAATATCATATCCAACCACAGTATATTTAAAAATTTTAGACTAAATTGTGTGCTATTAGCTTGTGAGTTCTCAATTTCTCCAAACTAAGGTTGTTCACAGAGCCATCTACAACAGGTAAGGTACCGTTTTAGAAACCCAATTCTAAAGCTAAAGCTAACCGAAACAGAAGTTAGGTGGAAGCGCACGGCCTTCTATTTCCATCCACCTCCGGTTCTCTTCTGCTTGTTAAATAATTGGTAAGCTGTTCAGCTGATTTTAAAACACTTGCTTCTGTGCAAATGCACTTCCCTTTCTCTAAGATTACACCCTTAAAACAACCTTTCTGCAGTGCTGAGCATAAAAAGCCCTTGTGTGCTCCTGTCCTTTAAAAATTAAAAGCCCTTGTTCTTAGAAAAGCCCCCCCCCCCCCCCCCCACACACACACACAGACCATGACGGCAGTTGGGTTTGCAGTTAGCTTGCAAAATGCATGTTCACGAGCAACTTTTTTTAGCGTTTGTCCCTTTATGTTCCCTTTATGGCATAAAAACAGGAGATTTTAAAAAGGAAATTTGTAAAATGAGCATTGATTGTGGCTGAGGTCAGAACATTTTTTTAATCATGGTTGGGTTAAGAGGTTTTTTTCTTTTGAATTAATACAAAACAGTGCAATAATGGCTCAGGGAGATATCTAACAACAATGTACGGTCTTTTCTGTCTTTCATTTTTATTCACAGTTGCTTAAGTAAAGTTTGGGAGAAGGTGCGGGGAATATTTTTCTTCTGCTCAGTGTTCTCCCTTTCCTGTTCCTCATTTCTGTGTTTTATGGCTTCGCGTTATTTCACTTTAGACAAAAACTCTTGCTTTGATTAAAAAGTCATCAGATGTGTTTTTCTGCGGCGCCACTTGCTGGATTTATTTTAAAACATGTTGGCCATCCCTGCTGTCATGAAAATCCAAGACGGAATAGAAACGGTGGAAAATCCAGAGGGAGCAAAAGCTCTGCAGTCATGTTAAACCGCTCGATTAAGTCTCTCAGTGGCACAGACATTTATATATTTATATCAACAATTTTTTTTTAAATTCACTGTAAAATTTTCAGGGTTAAATGCTGTCACTGACTCGTTTCTGTTAGAACATTTCGTGCAGGAATCTGTCGGAACGACAACCGTGTTTCCCCAAAAAGTCTCGTAAAACGAAAAAAACAACACAATTCGTTGATTCTGAGGAACATTTATGCTCTTGATTGAAAGTATTACTAAGACTTTATTTTTTAGAGTTTACTAGTTTTTGTGGAAACCGGGCTGTAGTTTAACGTGTGGAGAAGTGACCTGTACAGATGTGGCTTATGTTGTATTCGTGTGTTTGTAGATGCATACATCAGGTGCTACGGTTTGGGTAAATGTCGTGGAAATATCACTAGCGGTGCAATGGATTTCCTCCACTTTCTCTCCAGCTAGCTGTTCTTACGCCTTTTGTTTGTGTTTATTTGTGCAGCTGAATTTCTTTTTTTGTCAACATTATATCACAATGATCTAAAAGACTTTCACCAAGAGGTAGCAGGCAGACACGAAAAGTCCATCTCTGGTCAGTTAAATGAATTTTTGGCACTGCCTTCAAGTATATTCACAGCTCAGCGGTCTTCTCTCCAAACCACCTCCCCGAAAAAACTGTCCCATGAGCGACACCGATGGAAGACAGGACCTAAACCTTGTAGCGTCCTCTGAAGAGGAGGAACGACGGGGTGGGAGGATGTGCGAAGGTGTGCAGAGGGTGCCGGTGAGGTGATTTATGGGGCTACACACAAGGAAGCATGGAAGGCAAAAGGTGTTTTGTGAAATCAAACGGACAGATCACCTCGATTGTTAGGTAAAAAATAAATAAATACATAAAAAATTGGCAGAGAACACAGTTGTGAGGAAGCACCAATGGATCAAACATTATCGTCTAAAAAGAGCTTCGTTAGTTTTGTTGGAGTTTCCCCTCAGCTGATCTGGAGTCAGTGGACTAAACTCTTAAAAGCCAACACCCGGTTGGACACGACCAGGATGGAGATGAATACAGTTTCAGTTCAGAAAGTTATTTTTCCCAAAATGAACTAAATCAATATGAAAACAGTATAGAAAATAAGAATTAATGGCACACATCATTGGTTTATTCTCTAAAACTAGCTGAACTGAAACAAATAACGTTCTCTGGAAAGTTAGAGAGCCAACGTGAAGCTCTGAATCTTCCTGGTTTTGATCTGGCTCCACTGGTCTCAAAGACAATTACCGCTACGTTTGTTATCTCTTTTCGTCTTCTCCTAAAACTCACTTCACTTTCATTTTTTAAGGAGAAGTTGCCCCAAACCAGAAACCACTTACGACACTGGCCCAATCTTCTTCTTACGATTCATCAGCACAAAGAACACAGACTGTGTGTGCTGCCATCTATGAGGAGATATGTGGTTAAGTGGAGTCGGGAACAACTTCTCCAGCAAAACCAACCCTGCTACACACCAAGAAACTCTCAAAGGGCAAAGGATTCACAGTTCAAAGGCTAAATGTTCACAGTTCACAGTCATAGTTAATCCCCCCAACCCAAACCCGCCCCACCAACCCTTCATGTTCCCCATGCTCGCGTTCAATCCTGCTGGACGTCTACTCCTGTTTGATCCTCTGACTGGGTGATATCTACAGCCAGATCCTCTCAGACGGGTGTGGTCCTGCGGTTGGGGTCCTTGCTGTAATCTTTAGTGAGTGTGCTGCTCTGGAGGAACTCCCTCTCTGAGTTGAGCAGCCCACCTAGGCCAGCAACTGCTTTGGTACCAGCATTGCCAGCTTCCCGCGGGTTCAGCGTGTACATGGGCATCTCCGAGGCGGCAGGCCCTGTGTAGCCGCCTTTCCCCAACGGTGACGCGTCGCGGCTGGGAGCCTCAGAGGAGCGCACACTGGAGCGGCGTCGGAATCGGTAGCGGTAGGAGGGGATGCGGCTGAAGGCGGACTTCTTTATCAGCTCGGTACGAGACTTGGCCCTCAGCTTACGATGCTTCTCGATGAACATGTGAACGGCCAACACACCCACCATTTCAGCCATGATGAAGGAGAGGGCGCCAAAGTAGAAGGACCAGCCGTAGGAGTAGGACTTCTTACTGTCACTTTGACCTGGGTCACCAGAGTTGGCTGAGATGTAAACTATTATTCCGATGATGTTACTGAGGCCTGGAAGAGACAAAAAAAAATGGCAGAGTCAACAGCCTACTGAGGTTACACAACAGTGCTTTTCGTTTTTAACATGCACAGCTCAGTACATAAAATTAGCATATTCGTGCTAACCATGCTAATTTCTAGCAAACACACAAAAACAACTGTGAGGGTGACATACATACATCAGAGGAATCACATACTGATTCCTAGCCCTAGCACAATAGGGAGCCTAAGTCACATCCGGACCACGGGTCCCTGGAAGAACGAAAAAATGAATCTTCTTCCGGCTCTTGGAGAGGACAGATGCTTTTTTCTCCTCTCCCTCCCTCCTTATCCCAAGGCTCTTTGTCCTGTCTGTGCACGGTGCTTTTTGCATTTTGTCTGGAAACTGGAAATTATTAAAAATGGATCTGGTCAGTTGGTCTCTCAACGTGATTGACAAATTTTTTTTCAAAGATGAGAACGGGAGAAGGGGCTCCCGGATGCCCCTCTGGGACAGAGCCAGCTGGGTATATCATGGACTCCTGGAAACAGTGGAACCTGATATGCCTCTCTCAACTGTCTGTAGAGGATTCTGAAGATGTTTGGATATTCGTCGTTTTGGTGTCGGGATTCCTGCTGTTTGGCCTGAGCGGTTACCTGGCATGCCGAAAAATTAATGAGCTTTCGAGGAATATTGGCTCAATCCCGGAGCTCAGGGATGGAATGCATTGTGCCGTGAACGCACAAACTCATATAATTGTCGAGATGAGTCGAAAGCTTGGAACTTTGGCTGGGATTTAGGCTCTGGCACAAAAGGTGGATACCATCAAGGAGAGAGTGGACAGATCAGCACGGATTGGGATAGATTAACGCCATTATTAGATCTAGAGGGGTTGAAGACCAACAGAACACTAAGGCAGAGAGGAAATTATCTCTGTCTGTCCCCAAAACAATCCTTATCTGAATCTGGTGCCCTTGGAGCCTGTGAGGCTGAAGTTAAAACTCCCCCCTCAGAAGAAATGTGGAATGCTGTCGTCGCTATGGTAACTCTTTCTCCCTATCCCAGCCTGGGCGGGACTGTGACCGGTGAAGGCCGTGGAACTGTATCTAGGACTCACTTTACTCTATAACCTATTATCTCCCTCCCCTGTCCAAACGGAGGTGATGAGCGTTGCCCCATGCAGCTGCACGCACTGAAGTGAAGAGAGTCCCAACACTATCTCCCCACCTAATGGACACTTATGTTATGTAATGTCTGAAGTCTGTGTGCACTAGGGCTGCAACAAACGATTATTTGGATAATCGATTAATCGGATGGGGTCTCGACACGATTAATCGATTAATCGGATTACATGGGGAAATTTTTAAAAACTGCTAGGGAAACGTTATTTCTCTCCTTCCTTCACTTTATTTAACACAACATTATTAGAAAACAGTTCAATAGCAGAAAAACAACATGTCATCACCTAAATTGTCTTATAAGGTGTATAGACAGAGACCCTAAGCTACATCTATCTGTGACCTAAAATGCTTGGTCCAAGTTAAACAGCTTAAGGGCAATTCTCATCTGTTTTGTTTGATCTCATCTGTTGACATTTATTTTAAATGTAATTAAACATTGGCTGTGAATTATTCATAATTGATCACTATTTCCAAAAATGACTGAAAAATACCAAATAAAACAAAAGTAAATTAATGCCATCCTCCTTGTGATGATGCCCTGGGCAACTGCCATAAAGTCACATCAAGAAATGCTGCTGATCATTCCAATGATCCCAAATAGACTCACATTAGGCCACATGAAAGCAACTGAACCCAAAAATATATTAACCAGTATATAACTGCACTCTCACACAACACGCCTGCAGCAACAGTTAGGACTCCTCCCTCCCTTTTAAAAGCGTTTTTGCTTCCGAGGACATTGTGGTTGTAAAACCACATGCTAGTAGTCTGGCCCCAGTGTGATCAACCAGTTTCTGCGGGAATGTGACGGCGGAACCAGGGCCAGATTAACACTTTGTCGTACCCTGGGCAACAATATTCAAGGGCTCCATCATCACGACCCGAGGATCACCATAATATGGTCACATACAGAATATTTTACTGTAATATGCAGTAAATATACTCGATACTTGAATACCTGACAACACGTAACCCGCCCAGAGTAACCTTTGACCCACCTCGTGTGGACTGACCAATGAGGAGAGGGTCTTAACTTGAGGCCCTCTCTTCATTGGTCAGTCTGCATGAGACTGACTCTCAACTGACGTTCAGAGTCATAGGCAGCGAAGCGTCTCTGTGCAGCGCAAAAGCCCGGGTGGACAGTTTGTTTAATATAGGGTGATCATATTTCCATTTCCAAACAAGAGGACAGGGGATCTGTGCCTATGACGTCACACTATGGCAACGCCACACAATCCATGTTGGGACCCATTTTTTGTAAGAACTAAATTAATATCAGATTCTGCCAATAAAAGGGCTCTAAAACAATTCATATGTAAATATTTTGCATATTTAATGCAAAATCTCATTTTTATGCTTTAGTGCTGCAACAAGGTTTTATTAATAATAAATTATTATACCTTTTGTTTTACTACAGCATCGGTACGCTTCCTGTGCACAGATTATTAAGGATGCTTGTTTCAGCTGGGAGATTAGACGATAGGATCAATGAAAAAATAAGTTGTCCCACACTCCATGGAAACTTTCAGAGAATCCACAAATAGTGGCTTTCAAATGGTTTAGCTACTTTTAGCAAGTTTAGAAAAGCAGCAGATGAGACAGCATGTCTGATAATTTAGTTTTTCATCTGATAATATTAGAACATGTCAGTAATGTCTGAGGAGCTTTTATAAACACTGTATAACTAATACTCCTGGAGAGGGCATGAATTACACAGAGGCTTCTGGGGAGCCCAGCTATGGGGGGGGGGGGGGGGTCATTTTGCCTTGGCCCCCAAAATGTCTTGAAACGGCCCTGGGTGTGTGACAGTGTTGAAGGTGATCTGAATTGTATCAGATGTATAAATATGACATGTGTATAACTTATTGTTTTTACTGGTAAAAACGTGTAATGGAGATAAATCTACCTACATTTTACTTTTCAACACTTTGTTTTGTTTTCTTGTTTTTATTCAACTATATTTTCCTGTCCTGTCTGTCTCTCATCTTCCTGCATCTCCTCTAAACTCTCCAGAAAATCTGCTGCCTGGATTCTTACTTTTTCACCTCATCAGTTACTTTTGAGCAGATCAAAGATCTCCTAACCGCAAAGCGCAGAGCGCGTTTTCGATGCTGCGTGAGGTGAAATCACCGCAGCAGGTGATGAGCTCCGCAGTAGCGCGCTTCAGGCACAAATAAGACAGAAAATAGAGAACATGTGCAGACATGAACGATCGTGTGCTAATTATAGTTTTTTGGTTGCGCCACTTTGAGAATGGACCGTGCGCTGGAAGCAGCTGCCTGGATCGCAGCGCAACAATGCGGAACCGGTTCGAAGCAGCAAGTCTGCCGGCTCTCCCTCGCGCTGATCTGCGGCTCTCCCTCGCGCTGATCTGCGGCTCTCCCTCGCGCTGATCTGCCGGCTCTCCCTCGCGCTGATCTGCGGCTCTCCCTCGCGCTGATCTGCCGGCTCTCCCTTGCGCTGATCTGCGGCTCTCCCTCGCGCTGATCTGCGGCTCTCCCTCGCGCTGATCTGCGGCTCTCCCTCGCTCGCGCTGATCTGCGGCTCTCCCTCGCGCTGATCTGACTTGCTCTGGTCTGCGCGCAACGGCGGGCGGGAAGGGGGGGGGGGGGGGCGCTTTTGGAAGAGTTGTGCGACACAACGAATCGATGACGCAATTCGTTGCCAACGCTTTTAGTAATCGATTTTCATCGAATTTATCGATTCGTTGTTGCAGCCCTAGTGTGCACATCTGTCTGAGGTGTTTTTTGCATGGCAAAGCTACCCTCTCTGTGGAGGGTAACTCTGAAGTGCCTTTTTTCCCTCCCCCCGACTCTATCCTCATATAAACCCTCTTGATCTATTACGGTAGCTCGACTCGGGTTGCAAATGACCACAGTCACCAATTCTTGTCATGTGTCTATGTATGTATGTCTGATCTCAGAAGTGTGTGTACTGAAACTCTAATTTCCCTCTGGGATTAATAAAGTATTTTTGAATTGAAGTCAACGGGGCTAAAAACGCTATTTTCTAATTCCGCTTGTTTTGTGCCATGGATTTCACATATGATGCCCGTGAATTTAAAGACACATTTTGATACCAAGAACGCGCTTATTTTCGAACAGGGGCAAACGCTATTTTAGGTTTTGCGTGAAAACAAGTCCAGGACTACAAATACGCTTCACGAAAGTGACGTCATCGAACCAGACACGGAGAAAACTGAGGGAAAAGCGCTGTAAGTTCAGCAAACTTTCCACAGGAGGAAAGAACCACCACAAATCTGGTCATTTGGTAAGTAGCAGCTATGTTAGGGGAGAGGAGATTATGTGGTAACGTCACGTATGCGACGTGCCGATTTCTAGTTTGTAGTTATGCTAATCATGAACTTTTACAAGCTGATGAATCTTAAAGTACGTGACTGGCGTGGTCGAAACACCACTCATTACTCTTTGTTTAAATTGCAGCACAACATATGTGTGATCCAGGACGTAAGGCAAAGTGGATTAGAACATAGCGTTCTTAGCCCCGTTGACTTGCATTAATTTTTTTGTTCTTCTGGGGGCCCATGATGCGGAAGTGACTTAGACTCTCACTTCTCCTGTAAGAGGGACCCCCCCCCCCCACACACACACACACACAGAGTAACATATCAAAAGTAAATGCTACTATTGAGGTATAAAGCAGCTAAATAAAAATGACTAAAGAATGATCTTCTATCTAATAAAACTATAAATAAGACTATAGTACTCACTTATTCCCAAATAATAAATCCTTTGAAGAAATGAATTCTATAATGTGGTACCAATTTTGATCAACAATTGCCTTTCTTATAGAGAAAAAAAACACCAACTAGTGGCCAGATGTGTCACAGCCTACCTTTTAGCACGGTCTTAAGTTGTTCATTCAAACCTTCTACTTCTTCGTTCTATTTTAGCTTTTCCCTTCAAGGGTTGCAACAGCGAATCATCTTTCTCCATGTAGCCAAACAAACTGGTGTACCCTAACCCTCTAAAACTATCAGAATACAAAGTTCATTTGCTTTTTAAGTTAGACCCAGAGAAAAACAATCTTTAAGTGCACATTTCTATGACAACCTGACAAACGTGTCAAACGAGACTCTTTCCTTATAGATAATTTCATATCAACCATTTGAGAATAAAACTTCCAACACTGTTGGATTTCTAAATGGAGACGATTAGTGATCTGTAATTAGTCAGAATCAGCCACTAATTATTATGAATAATATTTAATTTACCCTCACTGAGACGAAACTTAGTGAGACAATACACATTCAGCTAAATGCCAATTACATTCCTTTGTGTGGGTTAGGGCTACAGGCACTAGTGTGTGTTTATACTGTAAATATTAGCATTCACATGACTGTGTGTGTGTGTGTCTGAGTCCACAGCCACAGTGTATTTTCTCGTTGATTCAGCTTTTGTGTTTCCTCACGCAGGCTTGTGTGTGTGTGTGTGTGTGTGTGTGTGTGTGTGATGTACGTTCTGCATAAAGCAAAGCCACAGTGCAGCTTCCCTCATATGTCCTCAAAAACGCACCTTGATTAAAGCTACACTAAAGTTTTTAAAACTCAAAGCTATTACTTTCAAACTGATTTTAATGGTGCTTCAGCCAAAAGCTCGAGCAACTTCGCATTACGTTTTGTGGTTTGGGGGAAGTCTGTACGTGCTTGACCGCATTATGTAGCTCATTTAAAGGCTAGAATCAGAATCAGAATCAGATGCCATACATGCGAGAATCACAACATTAGGAAATGGCTGCTGCACTCGGTGTAAAAAAGGAAGATAAAAATAAGAAATGATAAAAAAACAGTAAGTAAGAATATAATCATGATTAAAATAATAATATAAATTGGCAATACTTCAAAAACACGGCTGCTGTATACAAGACAGTGTAGGTACTAATCAAAGCGGGTCAGTTCAGGTACAGACACAACACCGGGTCATGTGACTGGAACCAGGCGACTGGAGTGGGCAGTCCTAGGACTTTCATTTATGAGTTCGGCCGCAGAGGGGAAGAAACTGTTCTTGTGGTGGGAGGTTCTGGTCCAAATGGATCTGAGCCTCCTGCCAGATGGGAGCGAGTCAAAGAAGCTGAGGCCAGGGTGACACTTGTCAGCTGGGATCCGACCTGCATGCCTCAGTGTCCTGGAGGTCCTGTATGGAGGGGAGTTTGCAGCCAATGACCTTTCTAGCAGTTTACTTTTTCAGTTTGCCAACCACGATTAAAAAGCACAAGGAGAAGAAGGAGTAGTAGACTTTGTTGGCATCATGGCGAAGCCTGGATGTAACAGTAACAGTCTTTGGAGGTAAAGAAAAGAGTTAAAGCCAGAGTGAACATCGGCGAGGCTACGTTCATTTGATATTGCTGAAAGAGGCTACAGACTGAAGGTGACCTGGTGTTGTTGCTACTGCTTGTACGTAATAAAACCTTTTGCTCAACAGTGTGGATGTTTTTGCTTTTTAACCTATTTTAAGGTCAGTTGGCTTATGCTAGCGTTAGCTCATTGTTAGCAATAGCTACAGCAGGCTGCGACAGGGCTGTAACTAAATACATTTACAAAGTATTCCCCCCAACACTGAGTAGGAATGATTACCCTGTAAGTCGTAGCCTGGGTTAAAACAGCTCTGATGCACCTGTTTCAGCAATGAGAATTCAGCCAGAGGAGAAAGTAGCTTCAGTATCATCGCCTGATATTTGGAAATCTCTACGGTGTACATTTTAGGACATTCTCAGGTCTCAGGAGCCCAACATCAGACAGTAGAGAAAAAAGCCTCAGGTTACATTCAAAAAGCCATCAGACTTTTGACTAAATAGTGGCAGGCAAAAGTCTCAGGAAGAAAAAAAATCAGGCAAAAAAGAATCAGGAAAAAGCTTCAGGAAAATAAATAGTCAAACCAAAATCTCTCAGGAAAAAAACGGACAAAACTCAGATAGAAATGACTAAACTAGTAGAATCCAGCAGAGGGTGGCATTGTCACATCGTGGCCGACTTGGTGTGATGTCATCAACATGCGACAGCAGCAGATTGGGCTTACTGCACCACAGTTTAACTATTCTGCCTTTTTACGGTACATTTGCTACACTTATTGTTATATTGAGTTCCAGTTATGTTTTGAAAATTGCATCATCATAGGAGACATGCAAATTTTCTATGATAAGGTGAATCAGAGTGGCACAATTTTTGTTTGGCTAATTCATTCTAGTGGTGCTGGAGATGGTTGATTTAAATTTAAAGAGTAAATTGAAAAAGTTGCGTAAGTCCCTTGTTTATGCTACAGGGAATGGACAAGCTGAAGGATTATGAGGAGCTAAATAAAATCTTGAAAATTGCAACAAAAATTTCATTAAATGTTTTAGCTGACGTTTGCATGTATTGAGGTAGTGCCATCTACAACATATCACCATGTAAAAAAATGATTTATTTATTTAAAAGTATTTTAAAAACATGCTGAAATGGTTATCTGTGAAATTTGCAGGCATGGGATTGCGATATAACAAACCTGCAGATACGAAGAAGATTCCTGCACTGAGGATGACGTTGTGTCTGCTCCTGTAGAACTCACTGGCCGCCACGCAGAGCCCCCCCATGAATAACAGACCCACGCTCATGATGGGGAAGAGACTGGAGGCCCGAACTGCACCTGCATACAGGTAGAAGACTTAAATCACACACAGCTACTGTTCCTAGTACTACTCCTCTCTCTGGTGGTCAACATGGAGTTTCAGGTTATCTGTTTCCATTCTGATTTTTATTAAATGCATGTTTAAAAATGAAACAAAAACCAAAACATAAAGTAAAATAATATATAAAGGAGAAATCATAAGGTTTTTTAACAGCCCAAAGAAACATTCATAAGTTGAAATCTTACCTTTCAAGTATTACTTGAGTGCCCTGTAAGGGGTTCAGTTTATATAATTAATCTTATTAATTACATAAAGCTTTCAGCTGCTGTAGCATGAAGTTGCTTGGCTGAAGTATGACTAAGGATAATGGTGTTTCGTGTCGGGGCTACACACTTTTCCCCTCTGGCTGATCATTACACAGGGAAGGGGAAGCTGTGTTTAATCTCTTAGTATAAAAAACATTTTATAAATTTAAACACACAGAAGGCTCATTACTCTCAAACAATGTTCACAAATCTGTCTAAATCTGTGTTAGTGAGCACTTCTCCTTCGCTGAGATAATCCAGCCCACCTCACAGGTGCTGCCCCTAACCTTAACCCTACAGGGAGAGAGGGGACACACACACCCCTTACCCTACAGGGAGAGAGAGGGAATACACCCCCCTAACTCTGACTCCTAACCCTACAGGGAGAGAGTGGGGACACACACCCCTAACTCTACAGGGAGAGAGGAAAGACGCCCATAACTCCAACCCTAACCCAGGCTGGCCACAATAGAAAGCCACTCTGAAATGTGCATTGCTTAAATTCAAACAATGCCCAACCTGAATAAAAAAACTCTTTTTGTCACAAAACTATCAAACCAAGCCGACCCCAGTAAAGTGGTGTAACTGACAATATTTACTTCAAACATCTCCTACAATTAGGAAAATCATGCAGAAACATAAAGAATATAGTTAAATGCTCATTTGAAGCTGTATCTTGCAACAAATAATATTTAAAACACAGATGGATGTTCACATCAGAGTATCTGCAGGTTTAAGGGAGCCAAATTTAAGACTTTTTAAGACCTTTTTAAGGCCACTTTGACCAAATTTAAGCAATTTTTTTTTAAATTAAATTTAAGCTATACTTTCCAGCTATTGCCTGGAACCGGTGCTAACCACGTCATAAACGTGGGATTAGCCATCCAATTACCATTAAACTTGCACTTCCCCATGGCGCAAGCTCCCACTAGCTTAACCAGCTAATGTGCTCATCTAAAAATAGCCCCCTTTCACACCAACTGAATGTGGACAGTTCCGCTTACGCCAATATCACACACAAAAAATGCTGAACACTAACTAGAAATTCATGAAAAATTTATAGAAATAAAAGAATCTTGTTCATTGGGTTTTTGGTAATTTAAGACCTTTGGAAACTGTACTTAAGGATTATTTGTCATTTTTATGGATTTTTAAGGCCTTAAATTTGGAAAAGCAAATGTAAGACTTTTTAAGACTTTTTAAGGACCCGCGGATACCCTGTCACATGCAAAATGTGCACCCAATTAAGGTTTAGTTCATTTTTATTACATTAAGTTAGAGTTGTTTTAGAATTCCAGT